TCTTGGAATTCCCACAAACTCACGTTAGCTAACTTCTTCCAACTTCAATTTGGAACTGAAGTCAGAATTTTCAGAATTGTACTAAAATCTCTTGTGCCGAAGTTAAAATTCTTCTGATTCATGTCGCTTTCGAAAACCTCTTTGTTTGAATTTGCGTATAATTTTGAAAATTCTCAACCTCTTCTAGTTTCTAAATTGATGCCTTCTATAATCTACTCACTCAAGGTAACTAATTTCTTCCAATCTCAATCATGAGCTGAAATAAAACTTCTAGTAAATCTTTATTTTTTATTTCCCTGACAGAATTTTACTAGACCTCTATATACTGAAGTTGAAATTCTTCTGATCCATCCACCTTGCAACAGAATTCTTCCAGAACTTTCTTGAATTTGAGAATAATCTTCTACTGAAGCAGAATTTTCTCAACCTCTTCTAGTTTCTAAATAGAAACCTCATAAATGTTCTACAAACTTACATTAGGTAACTTTTTCCAACTTCAGTTTTGAACTGAAGTCAAAGATGTTCTACTTTTTGTTTCCTTGATAGAATTCTTGTAAAATCTTTTAAGCTGTGGTTAAAATTCTTCTGATTTATATCCAAAACCTTCTTAAATTTACGTATAATTTTGTGCCAACGTGAAGATTCTCGACTTCTAGGTCCTACTTCCAGTTGCAATACTGAAGGGAAAACAAAGTTTTTTATTTCTTCTGTTTTCTTGGTAAAATTCTTCTAGAACCTCTTGGACTAAAATTGAAAATTTTCCAACTTCTCATTTTCCAATAAAATTCTCCTAGAACATTCTTGAATTTCGGTGGACTCTTGGATTGAGGTAGAAATTTCTCAGTCGCTTGTAGTTTCTATTTAGAGGCCTTCTAGAATATATCCCAACTCAGGTTAACTAATTTCTACCAGATTCAATCTTGAAGTAAAATCAAACTTTTGCTACTTCTTGAAATTCTTCTGAGCCAACCAGCTATCGAACAGAAAGAATGTTTCTAAAATCTTCTTGAATTTGAGGATAATCTTCTACTGAGGTGGAAATTTCTCAACCTCTTCTATTTTTTAAGTAGAAACCTCCTAGAATTTCGCTAACTTCTTACAGCTTCAGTTTTTAATTGAAGTCAAAGTTCTCTCTTTTGTTTGAATGAAAATTCTTCTAAAACCTCTTGGCTTTGGTTGAAATCTTCTGACCCATCTAGTTCTCGAATAGAATTCTTTTAAAACATTTTTGAATTTGTGTGTGATTTTGTGCCTAATTTCTAATTTCAACTTGAACCTCTTGGATCAAAACTGAGATTCTTCTAACGCATCTCAGCTTCAAATAAAATTCCCCTAGAACATTCTTGAATATCCGCGGACTCTTGAGCTGAAAAATCTCTCAAGCTCATCTAGTTTCTATTTAGAAGCCTTCTAGGATCTTCTCAAATTTAGGTTAACTAATTTTTTCCAGCTTCAACTTCAATTGAAGCCAAACTTCTGCTGTTTCTTCTATTTTCATGTTAAAATTTTTCTAGAACTCTTTACACTGAAGTTGAAATTCTTCTAACCAACCCAGCTTTCTAACAGAATTTTTCTAAAACCTTCTTGAATGTGTCTGCAAACTTGTTCCATGTAGAAATTTTCAAAATCTTCTAATTTTCAGCTCCAACTAGAACGTCTTATACTGAAGTTAAAATTCTTCTGACCCATCCAGCTTTTCAATAGAATTCGTCCAAAACCGTCTGGAATTTGCCTGTAATCTTGTGCCGACCTCAAAATTCTCAATCTTCTAGTTAATTCCAACTAGAACGAATAATTCTGACATTGAAATTCTTCGGCTTTCGAATAGAATTCTTCTAAAATCTTCTTGAATTTGAGAATAATCTTCTACTGAGGTGGAAATTTCTCAACCTCTTCTATTTTTTAAGTAGAAACCTCCTAGAATTTCGCTAACTTCTTACAGCTTCAGTTTTTAATTGAAGTCAAAGTTCTCTCGTTTGTTTGAATGACAAAATTCTTCTAAAACCTCTTGGCTTGGGTTGAAATCTTCTGACCCATCTAGTTCTCGAATAGAATTCTTTTAAAACCTTTTTGAATTTGCGTGTGATTTTGTGCCTAATTTCTAATTTCAACTTGAACCTCTTGGATCAAAACTGAAATTCTTCTAACGCATCTCAGCTTCGAATAAAATTCCCCTAGAACATTCTTGAATATCCGCGGACTCTTGAGCTGAAAAATCTCTCAAGCTCTTCTAGTTTCTATTTAGAAGCCTTCTAGGATCTTTTCAAATTCAGGTTAACTAATTTCTTCCAGCTTCAACTTCAACTGAAGCCAAACTTCTGCTGTTTCTTCTATTTTCATGTTAAAATTTTTCTAGAACATTTTACACTGAAGTTGAAATTCTTCTAACCCACCCAGCTTTCCAACAAAATTTTTCTAAAACCTTCTTGAATGTGTCTGCAAACTTGTGCCATGTAGAAATTTTCAAAATCTTCTAATTTTCAGCTCCAACTAGCACGTCTTATACTAAAGTTAAAATTCTTCTGACCCATCCAGCTTTTGAATAGAATTCGTCCAAAACCGTCTGGAATTTGCCTGTAATCTTGTGCCGACCTCAAAATTCTCAATCTTCTACTTAATTCCAACTAGAACGAGTAATTCTGAAGTTGAAATTCTTCGGCTTTCGAATAGAATTCTTCTAAAATCTTCTTGAATTTGAGAATAATCTTCTACTGAGGTGGAAATTTCTCAATCGTCTAGTTTCTAAGTCTAACTTTATTACTAAACTAAAATCAAAGTTCTTCTACTGCTTCTGTTTCCCTGATAGAATTCTTCTAGAACCTCTTAGACTTTTTAAAACTGAGATTGTTTTGACCCATCTCGCCTTCGAATAGAATTCTCCTACAACATTCTTGAATTTGCGCGGGCTCTTGGACTAAGGTATAAATTTCTCACCCTCTTCTATTTTCCGTTTGAAGCCTTCTAGAATCTTCTCAACTCAGGTTAACTAATTTCTTCCAGCTTCATTCTTCAACTGAAGTTAAACTTCTGTTACTTCTTCTATTTTCTGATAGAATTTTTCTAGAACTCTTTATACTAAAGTTGAAATTCTTCTGACCTCCCCAGCTTGAATTCTACTGAAGAATTTTTCCACAACCTTCTTGAATTTGCATGTAATTTTGTGTCGACGTCAAAATTCTCAACATCTTGTAGTTAATTTCAACTAGAACGCCTAATTCTGAAATTGAAATTCTTCGACTTTCGAATAGATTTCTCCGAAAATCTTCTTAAATTGGAGAATAATCTTCTACTAAGGTGGAAATTTCACAACATCTTCTAATTTTTAAACAGAAATCTTCTATAATTTCCACAAATTCACCTAAGCAAACTTCTTCCAAATTCAATTTTAAACTAGAATCAACGTTCTGTTTCCTTGAAAGAATTCTTCTAAATTTTCTTGGGCGAGTTAGTTTCTAGTTCCAACTTTAGTACTAAACTCAAATCAAATGTCTTCCACTTTTTTGTTTCCCTGATAGAATTCTTCTAGAACTTCTGGGAGTGAAATCAAAATTGTTCACATCCATCTCGCTTTCAAATAGAATTCACTTAGGACATTCTTGAATTTGCACAGATTGATAGAAATTTCTCAACCTTTTGTAGTTTCTAAATCAACACATTCTAGATTCTCGTCAAACACATGTTAACTAATTTCTTGGAGCTTTAATCTTGAGCTCAAGTCAAAGTTCGGTTACTTTTTCTATTTCCTTGATGTAAATTTCCTAGACCAACTCTTTGCGCTAAAGTTGAAATTTTTCTAACCAATGCAGCTTCCGAATAGAATTGTCCTAGAACCTTCTTCAATTTGCGTAACGTTTCATAACCATAGAATATGAAAACAATAGGTCTTCCGTTTCCGTCGTTTTGTCGTTGTCTAATCATTTACACCAACAATTGGATTAGCTCAGTTGGTTAGAACGTTGTGTTAATTCGGTCCCCTCATAGGCCACTTTTTTTTTCTTACAGTGTGACTAGTATTACCTTATTTCTTTTTCTTTGCCAAAAAACTGGATTTATTTGTTGTACTTCAAGGCCAAGGCAAGTTCTTTCTAAATAATCTTAGACCAATTTTTTTTTGAATAGTTTGCCAAAAAAATAATCAATACTAAGGAAACGTCATAGACATCTGGTAGTCTGCATTCACATATTTCTTATTCTGTAGATTTAAATAAAAAAAAAATCATGAGAACTCCCAAAGACAAATTCTACCAGTTCTACAATGGCGCCCAACGAAAAAAAAACATGACGCAAATAATATCCACAAACGTGGGAATATTTGGCAACTACCTTCATGCCATGTATTTATCTCATTTTCTCCACGATAACCAAAAATAGTCGTTAAATAAAAATTAAAACCGACGTTTTCGTGATTAAATGCAATAAAACCACCAACATAACGTCGTAAGGTATCTAAATTCCCAGAACCCACCTCTCCCGACTGAAACGTGTTTGCTGCACAACCAAACTAAAGCCCAAAGCAGCGCACATCATCCCATTCAGTGTTTGTAAACAGTTCCAGGCCTTCCACACACCCAAATCCTTTACCAAATCCAACAACAGCCACGATTTTGCATATATGAATAGAATTGAACTGCACTGAGTGCATAAAGATTGCATATGCACGAACACGCCTCCAATCCTGCATCGCTATCCATGTCTCCGAAACACATCCACGAACCCGAATACATCCAGGAACAAGAATCCCCAATCGAGAAGTCCCGTTCACACGTAAACTGTCGAGTGAGCACGTTCTGAAGAAAACACACGACATGGGCTTAATATTTGGTTGGGCGCGGCGTGCACGCATACTTCTTGCAAATTAATTCAGTCAAAATATTTACGTTGGAAACCTGCTCAGCGTTACAGGTAACGTAAACAAATGTGAAGATCGAACAGGTTAGGTCCAGATTTGGAGATAGGGAGATGAGGAAAAAGGATCCAAGAGGGTTATTTAAACTAATCCCTCGGCTGCTGCTAATTTATTTCGGCCAAAAACATATTTACAGTCACACTATTCGATTAACCTGGAAGCATTCAAACGCGACAACCTTGCGTATCACATTCGAGATTAGTATCACAATCGTGGTCAGAACACGCTTCGCATTCTCAAACTTAATGACTAGGCTTAGAGGCTGAGAGCCTTTCGAACGTACTTTCTGTCAATAACGGGTTCGCATGTTTGTCTTATTTTACGAACTTATGGTAAAGTTAAAACTAGTGCCGGGGACACGCAACTCCGGGATGTATTAGGGGGGTACTTAATTACTTTTCTAAGTCCCGATCTTAGGGGCTTTAACCACTTTACCAACATGAAGCCGGCTGAACTATTTTTACTTCGCTGGTGACAGTGTCGCGGTTTCGCGATTTTACCTACTTCGGGTTTAGGTCATGACATCTTCTAGAACTTGGATTCGTCGATTGATTAAGTCTTTCTGGCGGGACGTTATTACGCTGTAATAATTATTTCGTTAAACTCTTTGTAAGGAAACGGTCTGGATAGTCTCAAATCCGGACTGACTCTTATTTAGAACAAGGTAGGTCAGTTTAACAAATGTTTCACATTTCAAAATAGAAAATCGGTATGTTTCGTTAACAGTAGCTTAGATTCCACCGCCAAGAGTGAAGAATGGCGCATTTTTAAGTTTCTGGGACGTAGGAGCACGCTGATTTTTTTACTATAATAAACGCACGGCTTTGATAGTGCGGAATTGACCGACATGTTTTGCAACTCCAGATGCCAATTACAACGATTTGTTTTAGTTTCCTCCAAATTTAATTGTTTATTTCTGTAAGACTACCTTGACATAACCAAAATCCAGAATTTCGAGGATTGCCGCACACTAAAATACTCCCTCGTTCCTCTCACCTAATGCACAGTCCAAATTCAGGCCGACTTCATAAACATATCACACAGTTAAAGAAACAAACAGAATTAAATAAATTAGTCAAAGGGACTGACAATCCCCCAGTCCCGGATTAAATAACCAAATCTATCCTCTTCGAAAGCTCTCCATACAAATAAATCAAATGCGATCATCCAATCCAAAGACTCTAATTGAAGAACCTACAAAAAATATATCGCTGTACGAGTTTGATTTTAGAGCACAGTCATCCACATGGTTGACCCAGTAGTAGTGAAGGTGAGGACCAGCAAAAAATCAACAAAGACTGCCTCATACAGTCCGATCCGACCTCCACCTGGTAAATTCTCCAGATCTTTAGTTAGTCCCTCGACGATAAACCCTTCAAAACCACCCGAATTCCAACTGACGATGACCAGATATACCTGTGGACCCGGACCTTCCTTGGTAAAATTGTACCATGACCGCATGGTGGAAGTCCAAGTGAGGTCTTGAAGTTTTTTTTGTAAAATAAAACACCCTCACTATTGTGGAACGGGTTCCGCCGACCAAAGAGAAGTTCAGGTGTGATTTTGAAGGTTTACTCTGTGGCGAAGAACGTTCGGGAATGATGAAAGCTCAAATGTCTCTGTATCTCTATGCAATCCAGAAGCAATGGGCTCTAATCCCTAAGGTAATTGTGAGATAGCTAGTTCTGGTTCACGAAAACCTGGAAGGTCAGGTAAGGTCAGGTTATGTAAGGTCAGAAAAACAATATGGATTTAGAGAAAAACGTTCGACACTAAACGCGATAGAGGACGTAGTCAGGATTGCCAAAAAATCGAACGCAGAAGGAAATCCAAAGTGATGGCGAGCGATCTTTATAGACGTCCAAAACGCCTTTAACATGGCCCCATGGGACATCATAATCGAGAAACTAGAGCAAAGGAGCATCTCCAGGTATCAGGAAAACACCATAAAAGATTATTTTACAAAAATAAAGATACGGATTGAGAGAAAATAAGGTCACTGAAGTGGGAGAAGGCGTTCCACATATTGTACGATGACCTAATGAAGATAGACGTACCGGAGGAGGTTACCCTAATCTGCTACACTGACGATTTGGTGGCGGTGGTCACGGCTGAGAATAAAGAAAAGTATGGCAGCGGCAAAATCTAAAACCATTACTCTGAATAGAAGGAATATCGCAGACTTGGTCTTCGAATAAGATCACAACAAGATTGTGCCTAAACCGGTAGTGTGATAGAAAAGGCTCGTAAAACTGCGGGAGCGGTAGGGACACTGCTATCCAAAATAAGAGGACCTAAAAAAAAATAAAGGGTGCTATATTCAACAGTACAATACATAATACTATATGGGGCGCCCATCTGGTATGAAGCAACCAATAAGGCACAATGGACGAGTAAACTAATAAAAGAGATTGCCCGTAAAAATTTTGGGGAGATAGATTTTTATAGGACCCAGGGTCTAACCGGTCATGGAAGCTTCATGAAATACGTGTAACCAGCGACAGACCACGCGGAACACACGCTCTTTAGCTCCCCAAGATGGTCCAGGGAAAAGCAAGAGCTAGAACTATACCTTGGAAGAGAAGATAAAGTAGGAAACTTGGTCGAGTGCACGCTCTCGCAAGCCGAAGCCTGGTAGAGAATCCAAACGTATATGGGAAATATAATGAGAACAAAAGAGGATGAAAGAAAAGAGTGAAAACCAACGTAAAAACAGTACCGCGAGATCCAGGAGGAAAACGGAGGAGTTTTAGTGAGGTAAGAACACCCCCCCCCCCCCCCGTACAACCTGGTTACCCTGCGAGGAGAAGTTCCCCTATCCGGTAAAGATCTCATTATCGCTGGAAATATGAATGCTAAATATACATATGGGGCTCACCGTATGACGACAAGAAGGGAACTATGCTTGCAGAATGGGCTGCGCTTAACCTAGTAGTACATAACGCAGGAAAGATTCCGACCTTTTATGTACCAGGCGAAGGTTCGTTTGTCGACGTCACACTGAGTATGACCACCATAGCCAAATACATAGAAAACTGGAGAGAACTATCGGAAGAAGAAAACCTAAACGATCATCACCACATCCTCTGAAGATGAAAAGACAGGGAAACTACAGTACGTTCGCCAAGTAGGCTATCAAACCAGATCTCGTTGATTTCCGGGAAGCCGTAGCTAAATTGGGAAAAAGCTGGAATGCCCAGACATATCAAATGAAAATCTGTGTCCAAAAGCATGTGAAAAATTGAAAAACGGGGAGGTGCCAAGCCTTGACGGTTCCTCTCCGGAAATAACCAAGAGGGAGATTGTGGAAACTCCCGATAATTTGCAAATCGCTATCGAGACTGGCGCTTGGAAGTAATACCAAAAGGTGGTTCCCAAGCGACCTCACTAACCCAGGAGGAGTTTTGGCCGGTAGGAGTCTGGTACTACCTAGTGCAATTGATCGTGAGGTACCAGCACTAGATGTCCACGATGGATTTCTCCTCAAATAAGTGCGGCAGTCTGAGAAGAATAGGTATTCGGGCTTACTCAATGGAATCACCCGGAGTTACCATGCTGGGGTACGCCGACGACATTGTTATAAGGGTTGAGGCAAAAGCACTCGTATAACAAACAGTACCTTGAAGATACAAAAAAAAAAAAAAACAGAAAAGAATAGACTCGAACTAAAGACCACCACCTGTGTTATATGCTTGTGTCCCACCGGCTCCATTATTGCCGGCCAAGTGTCACCGGAGTTGATTCCCTTTGACGTAATGGTAAAGGAAAGGATGAAGATATAAAAAGGAAGAAAAGAAAAGAAGAAAGGGAAGGTGCGGGACACGATACTACAAAAATGGTAGGAACAACGGAACAGGTCCAAGAAAGGAAGGTGGACCTACTCCTTGATCCCTAAACTTGAGCCCTGGATCTCTGCAACGTATGGGACTCTCAATTACTATACAACTCAAGCCTTGACTAGGGCATCGGTATCTTCGGAAACTACCTTACGAAAATCGGGACAAGTGCTGAACGATGGACTTTCCCAGGAACTGAATGAGGACGAAACTCGAACAGGATCAATACTGTAAGTCGAAGACGCTGGGTCTCATGACAACCTTCGACGTTAAGGCTTTTAATTCGGACCCATGGCAGATACCCCAGAAACACTCGGAGTTCCAGGATACCTTGTCAGAATAGCCGCAGGAAATTTCGAAGACAGTGTAGAGACGGGACTAAGTAGAGGCGTCGCCCAAGGCTGCGTGCTCTGTGCTCATACTGAAATTAAGCTTCCACAAGGGACCGAAAGATCGAGAAAGGTAACCAGGAACATGCCGAGCGAAGAGATCCCTAGCAGCGGAACAATGAAGATTCTCGGCTGGGTCGTACATTCGATACTACCGTTCGCGGCTCCGGGGTCGGCTGAGATTACAAGAACCACGAAGTATAGGACGGTCTTAAGATGTCAGAGGAAGGAACTCCTCCGGATGGCCTCAGCTTATTGCAGCGAACAAACCACTATCGGTAACCAAAGGTACCTGAAGTTTTTCCCTTCTCCAAAACAAAAACAAAAAAGAAAGATCAGGTTAGGTCACGTCAGGTCTATTATGTCGCTGACGCCTTAGCTGTGAGATCTTCGGTAGCAGTTGGTGCCGCGACCAGAACTACATCTTTAGACCTATATGGAAGAGCGACAAAATGGCAACAAGGCAGAAAAGATGGTTGATATCAACAGGAAGTAGATACCTAGCACGTTTCGGAAAAGTACATGGTCTTTAGTATGTAGCTGTCAGTGATTCCGATGCTTTTTCAAAAACTGGCGCCCGAACACCACCCATCGAAAAAAGTCACATCCATGAAGTTAAAATGTTTATATCATCTACGAGCCACAATATTTTGCGCAACCAACTCGCTAAAACGAGTCCGCATCAACCGTAAAGTTAAACCGATTGATTTTTCGTACCTTCGACTTATATTTTAAACTAGTTAGCCCAACGATTGCCAAAAAACAAAGCACATACATAAATTGTGCCATTAACAGATAATTTCACATAGCAAAAACCACAAATGCTTATCTATCTCATTTTTTTTGTTGTTCACCGCCCTTCCAAAGAATTTAGTAGCACCATTTAACTAAATTTCTACAAAACATAATGAAGTAGGTAAAAATTCCCTCCTATAATTTTAAGCCTATGAAATTACGTCCCCTTTCCCTCATTCTCCACCCTCACCTCCACACCCACACTTAACTAAAAACAAGCAAAAAACCACAAACTTAACACATTCCGCTCGCGCAAAATTTCAACATAACTCAAAACTACAAAAATTTATATACAACAAAACGAGCAATTTCATTCCTCGTCACTACTGCTGCTGGCTTGCCCCCCTTCCCCTTTCCCGTCGAGCGAATTGGCCAACTCCTCGGGTTCCGTCACCGGCAAGGAACACGCGAAGTTCCTGCAGACGTACGCGGCCGATTTTCCTTGGATGGGTTTGAGTCTCGACAGCGACTCGTGGCGCTGGTATAATAGGCCCGCGCGGCCGCTGGGACCGTCGGTAACGGCCAGGATTCTTCCCGGGATGTACCTCGATCGCACCACGTCCAGCAGAGCTTGGGTGTTGTTGTCTTCGGTTTCGCCGGCAATGAATACCTGGTTTGGTACAGAGGTAATTACGGGTGATCGATGGAGATAGAAGTGTTCACCTGTGTGGGCGAGTTGTGGTAAAGAAGCAGAGCTGATGTCATTTCGGGTAGAGCCACGGGGATTGATTTGAGTCGGTCGGCAAAAACTGTCAGGGTTCGACCGGCTTTTGCTCGCAGGTCTGGTCGGTCTAAGTAGGCGGCGAGGCGGAGTAGGTTGTGGACGCTGACTGAGTTGCCGCAAGGCTCGGCTCCGTCTTGGTCTGGAAGTGATTGAAAGGGGTTAGTTTGGGGGTGAGAGGAGGTATTCGTCTAGACGTAATCGATTAGGAAAGTTTTTTGTCTCAGGCGGACATAAATTATCGCAAATTTATTGTAGAAATTCATGATACTGAAAAATCGTGGAGAAAAAATGCATTATCAAATGTATTAATGCAGATATGGTACAAGTGATACTATCAGTTCATTGTTCATGTTCATGTCTATGTTTATTGTTCGCATTTTTTGTTGCTGCTGAAATTAGTTTGTTCAGATAAATGATATTGTCGTGAATCCGTTCCCGTAAATAGAATTTAATGGCCAATCTTTTAGAATTTTTGATTTATATAAAAAAGTATCATTTTTAATCTTATAAAACAAATATAAAAAAACATAGCATAATAACACGTTTCATTGGGAGTTACTAATACACTAAAAATAAATTAAGTTTTTTAAATGAACTATAAAATTTACACTAAGAAGCTCCGTGATTATTTCAAATTAAAAAAAAAACGCTAGCAACCCTCCAGAATTCTTCACGACCTTAAAAACAGACTCTAGTGATTTGTCCACATTCTTAAAGACAACGCAGGCACCCCCAAGGTCATTTCATATTCTTAAAAAAAAAATACTAGAAGCCCCCAAGATCACATTATTTAAAAAATACTAGCACTCCCGACATTCTTTCACATTCTTAAAAAAAAAAAAAACATCAGTACTCGAGATTGTTTCACAATCTTACAAAAAAACACCAGAAGCCTCCAAAAAAACACTCGAATGACCCAAAAATTCTTTCACATTCTCCTGACTCCCGAGATTCTTTCACATTCTTTAAAAACACTAACACTCCCGAGATTCACTTTCACATTCTGAAAAAAACAATAGGATTCCCCGAGATTATTTCACATTCTTAAAAAAAAAACACTAGGATGACCCAAAAATTCTTTCACATTCTTAAAAAGCACTAGGATTCCCCGACATTCTTTCACATTCTTACAAAAAAAACCAGAAGCCTCCAAAAATTCTTTCACATTCTTTAAAAAATACTAGGAGCACCTGATTCTTTCTCATTTTTAAAAAAACACTAGAAGCCCCAAAAATTCTTTTACATTCTTCAAGACCCCCGAGATTCTTTCACATTCTTACAAAAAACACCAGAAGCCTCAAAAATTCTTTCACATTCTTTAAAAAAACACTTAAACCCACCAGAACCTTACACAATTTTAAAAAATACTACGAGCCCCCGCCATTATTTCTCATTCTTGAAAAAAACGCTACAATGCCCCGAAATTTTTTCACTCTGAAAAAAAACACTAGAAGCTTCCAAAATTCTTTCACATACACTCTTTAAGACTCCCGAGATTCTTTCATATTCTTAAATAAAAAACACCAAAAACCTCCAAAAATTCTTTCACATTCTTTAGACTGAACCCACCAGATTCTTTCACATTCTTAAAAAAATACTAGGATCACCTAAAAATTGTTACACATTCTAAAAAAAAAAAAACACTAGGAATCCAACATTCTTTCCAATTCGTACAAAAACATCAGAAGCCTCTAAAAATTCGTTCACATTCTCTAAAAAACACTTTAACCCGCCACATTCTTTCACATTCTTAAAGAAATACTAGGAGCGCCTAAGATTCTTTCTCATTTAAAAAAAAAACACTAGGATTCCCCAGATTCTTTCACACTCTTAAAAAAAACACTACGATTCCCCGAGATTCTTTCACATTCTTACAAAAAACACCAGAACCCTCCAAAAATTCTTTCACGTTCTTAAGAAAAAACACTAAAAGCCCTCGAGGTTCTTTCTCATTCTTAAAAAAAAAAAACGGTGACCGGAGATTCTTTCACATTGTTAAAAAACCACTAGAAGGCCCAAAAATACTTTCATATTCTTCAAGACTCTCGAGATTCTTTTACATTCTTAAAAAACACTACTGTTCCCCTAGATTCTTTTACATTCTTAAAAAAACACTAGGATTCCCCGAGATTCTTTCACATTCTTACTGAAAACACCAGAAGCCTCCAAAAATTCATTTTTTCACATTCTTCCGACTGTACTATCATATTCTTCAAAACTCTCGAGATTCTTTTACATCCTTAAAAAACACTACTGTTCCCCTAGATTCTTTAACATTCTTAAAAAAACACTAGGATTCCCCGAGATTCTTTCATATTCTTACTGAAAACACCAGAAGCCTCAAAAAATTCATTTTTTCACATTCTTCCGACTGTCGAGATTCTTTCACATTCTTAAAAAAACACTAGGAATCCAAGATATTCTTTCACATTCTTAAAAAAACCCTTGGACCCCCCCATTTTTTTTATATTCTTAAAAAATACTAGGATCACCCGAGATTCTTTCACATTCTTACAAAAACCACCAAAAACCCTCCAAAAATTATTTCACATTCTTTAGAAAACACTTGAACCCACCACATTCTTTCACATTCTTAAAAAGATACTAGGAGCCCCCGAGATTATTTCTCATTCTTTAAAAAAAAACACTAGGATGTCACAAAAATTCTGTCACAATCTTCTGACTCCCGAGATTCTTTCACATTTAAACAAAAATCACCAAAAGCCTCCAAAAAATCTTTCACATTCTTTAAAAAACACAACAATTCACATTCTTCAAGACTCCCGAGATTCTTTCACATTCTTAAAAAACACTAGGCTTCCCCTAGATTCTTTCACATTCTTACAAAAAACACCAGAAGCCTCCAAAAATTCATTCTTTCACATTCTTAAAAAAACACTAGGATTCCAAAAGATTCTTTCACATTCTTATAAAAAACACGAGAAGCTTCCAAAAATTCTTTCCCATTCTTTAAAAAAACACTTGAACCCTCCAGATTTTTTCACATTCTTAAAAATCTTGAAAAAAAAACATTAGAATGCCCCGAAATTTTTTTACTTTGAAAAAAACACTGGAATCATCCAAAATTCTTTCACATACATTCTTGAAGACTCCTGAGATTATTTCACATTCTTAAATAAAAAAATACCAAAAACCTCCAAAAATTATTTCGCATACTTTAAAAAATCCTTGGGACCCTCAATTTTTTTTTACATTCTTAAAAAATCCTAGGATCCCCACGAGATTCTTTCACAACCTTAAAAAACACGAGAAGCCCCAAAGATACTTTCACATTCTTCAAGACTCTCGAGATTCTTTCACATTCTTAAAAAACACTACTATTATCCTAGATTCTTTCACATTCTTAAAAAAAACACTAGGATTCCCCGAAATTCTTTCGCATTCTTACAGAAAACACCAGAAGCCTCCAAAAATTCTTTCATATTTTTTAAAAAACTTTTGAACCCACCACATTCTTTTACATTCTTAAAAAAATACTAGGAGCCCCTGAGATTCCTTCTCATTCTTAGAAAAAAATTCTTTCACATTCTTCCGACTGCCGAGATCCTTTCACGTTCTTAAAAAAACACTAGGATTCCAAGAGATTCTTTCACATTCTTACAAAAAACACCAAAAGCCTCTAAAAATTCTTCCGCGTTCTTTAAAACACACTTGGACCTCGCAATTTTTTTAGATCCTTAAAAAATCCTAGGACCCCCCGAGATTCTTTCACATTCTTAAAGAAATACTAGAAGCCCCCGACATTCTTTCTCATTCTTGAAAAAAAAACACTAGGATATCCCAAAAATTCTTTCACAAGCTTCTGACTCCCAAGATTCTTTCACATTCTTAAAAAAAACACTAGTATTTCCCGAGATTCTTTCACATTCTTACAAAAAACACCAGAAGCCTCCAAAAATGCTTTCACATTCTTCAAGACCCCCGAGATTCCTTTCACATTCTTAAAAAAACGCTAGGACTCCCCGAGAATCTTACACATTCAAAAAACACCAGAAGCCTCCAAAAATTCTTTCACATTCTTAAAAAAATACTATTCTTTCGTGATTTTTTCTCATTCTTGAAAAAAAACAAAAGGATACCCCGAAATTTTTTCACTCTTAAAAAAACACTAGAATCTTCCAAAATTCTTTCACATACATTCTTGAAGACTCCTAAGATTATTTCACATTCTTAAATAAAAAAAACACCAAAAGCCTCCAAAAATTCTTTCGCATACTTTAAAAAATCCTTGGACCCTCAATTTTTTTTACATTCTTAAAAAAATCGAGATTCTTTCACATTCTTACAAAAAACACCAGAAGCCTCAAAAATTCTTCACATTCTTTAAAAAAACACTTGAACCCACAAGATTCTTACACAATCTTAAAAAAAGACTACGAGCCCCCGACATTCTTTCTCATTCTTTAAAAAAATCACTACAATGCCCCAAACATTTTTCACTCTGAAAAAAACACTAGAATCTTCCAAAATTCTTTCAGATACATTCTTTAAGACTCGCGAAATTCTTTCATATTCTTAAAAAAAAAAACACCAAAAGAATCCAAAAACTCTTTCACATTCTTTAAAAACCACTTGGACCCCTCAATTTTTTTTACATTCTTAAAAAATACTAGGATCCCCCGAGATTCTTTCACATTCTTACAAAAAACACCAGAAACCTCCAAAAATGCTTTCACATTCTTCATAACCCCCGAGATTCCTTTCACATTCTTAAAAAAACCGAGAATCTTACACATTAAAAAACACCAGAAGCCTCCAAAAATTCTTTCACATTCTTTAAAAAAACACTTGAACCCACCAGATTCTTACACATTCTTAAAAAAATATTACGAGCCCCCGGTATTCTTTCTCAATCTTGAAAAAAAAATAGTGGGAGCCCCTGAGATTCCTGCTCATTCTTAGAAAAAAATTGTTTCACATTCTTCCGACTGCCGAAATCCTTTCACATTCTTAAACAAACACTAGGATTCCAAGAGTTTCTTTCACATTCTTACAAAAAACACCAAAAGCCTCTAAAAATTCTTCCGCATTCTTTAAAACACACTTGGACTTCGCATTTTTGTTAGATCCTTAAAAAAATTCTAGGATCCCCCGACATTCTTTCACATTCTTAAAAAAATACTAGAAGCCCCCGGCATTCTTGAAAAAAAAACACTAGGATATCCCAAAAATTCTTTCACAATCTTCTGACTCTCGAGATTCTTTCACATTCTTAAAAAAACGCTAGTATTTCCCGAGATTCTTTCACATTCTTACACCAGAAGCCTCCAAAAATGCTTTCACATTCTTCAAGACCCCCGAGATTCCTTTCACATTCTTAAAAAAACACTAAGACTCCCCGAGAATCTTACACATTCAAAAAACACCAAAAACCTCCAAAAATTCTTTCGCATACTTTAAAAAATCCTTGGGACCCTCAATTTTTTTTTACATTCTTAAAAAATCCTAGGATCCCCCCGAGATTCTTTCACAACCTTAAAAAACACGAGAAGCCCCAAAGATACTTTCCCATTCTTCAAGACTCTCGAGATTCTTTCACATTCTTAAAAAACACTACTATTCCCCTAGATTCTTTCTCATTCTTGAAAAAAAAAACACTAGGATATCCCAAAAATTCTTTCACAAGCTTCTGACTCCCGAGATTCTTTCACATTCTTAAAAAAACACTAGGACTCCCCGAGAATCTTATGTTGGAGCGACACCTAGTGTCGGCCGTGCGAGGCTCGCTCGTGTAGTCGCCTTCACGAGATGGCTATATTGCGCAGAGCGACACAGCGCCACTTGTAGACGCCATATTTTTAGACACTTCTGGTACGACCGTCCGCGTGGCTACCAGCGCGACTATGTTACGCTCGTCGAATATTCTCTTGCAATGTGCCACAATGTAATATACGTTAGTAACCGATTCCGTGGTGTTTTCATTTCCGCCAACATCTTACACATTCAAAAAACACCAGAAGCCTTCAAAAATTCTTTCACATTCTTAAAAAAAATACTATTCTTTCGGCATTTTTTCTCATTCTTGAAAAAAAAAAACAAAAGGATACCACGAAATTTTTTCACTCTTAAAAAAACACTAGAAGCTTCCACATTCTTTCACATACATTCTTTAAGACTCCCGAGATTCTTTAACATTCTTAAATAAAAAAACACCAAGAGCCTCCAAAAATTATTTCGCATTCTTTAAAAAATCCTTGGACAACATAAGTACTAAAAAAATTGTTAAATTAATAATTACCTTCCTTTCCTCGAATTAGTATACTAGAATCATTTTCAGGACTCGTAAAATACCCCGACCCCTTCGCATCCCAAAACAGACGATCTTGCTGTTCTTGCAAAACTTCGGCCCACAACAACCAATCCGCATCCAACGACGCCTCATACAAATCCAGAAGCCCTCTAATTAGGAACGCATAATCATCCAAAAACCCATTAATCGGAACAGCCCTACAAAATCCACCCTTACTTCTAAAACTCACACAAAAAACAATACTAACGTTTGAACGACCTTGCCTTCATCTCCCCTATAACAGCACCTCAACAACGTCTTCTCCCTCTCATTAAACAAAAACTTCTTAATAAAACTCGCCGCCAAAATAGCCCGATTTATATAATCCTGATTCTTCAAAACAAACCCAGCTTTAGCGAACCCAGAAATCATCAAACCGTTCCACGACGTCACGATCTTGGTGTCGGTGTGCGGTTTCGGCCTTTTTTGCCTCTCAGCATAGAGAACTTCGTGACAAGTTTTCAGAATTTTCTTGACTTGATCGACGTCAGTTTCGAATTTTCGCGCCGTGTCTTCGTACGACCCGAAACACACCAGGACGTTCTTCTTTTTTAGCTCGTGGTGGGGGTCTTGAGCTGGACTCACGTTGCCGTTTTCTTTGATGTTGTAGTGATAAATGAATAAGTCCCGATGCGAGATTTCTCCGGTTTTGTCTTGGTCTAGCAAGTTCGCGATTTCGTCGTACTCCCAGACACAAAAAGCGCCCTCTTGCTTGTGTGGTGCGCCTTCGTAGGGGAACGAATCGGCGTCTTCGGCACCGTAGAAACCACCAAGAGGGTGACTCAAATCTCTAGATACATACAAGAGGATATCTTTTAGAGATTCCGCGAAGAACTCGTCTTTGCTGACAACGTAGGCGTCCGCGTACGACACAGCTAACTGCCCTTGGTCGTACAACATCTTCTCAAAATGCGGCACGTGCCACCTGTCGTCGACCGAGTACCTCGCGAAGCCGCAATTCACGTGGTCGTGTATACCTCCATAGGCCATTTTTTTCAGCGTGTGTAAACACATGCGCAGACACTGATACCCCTGCTCGGAGTTCTTATCCCTCGAGTACATATGGAACAAGAAATTGAAATTACTAGGTTGCGGGAACTTCGGCTGGGCGGAGAACCCCCCGAAGTCGTCCTCGTACGAGTGAGACAGCTGCAGAAGACACTTCTTCCAGACTTCGTCCCCAGGCACGTTAATGCTCTGCTTGCAGGGTATTTCCCTCTCGCTCACTTTGCGGAGGACTTCGAGTGAGTACTTGCCGGAATTGGCTATGGCGGATTGTTTGGTACGCCACTGTTCCGCGATGCTTTTGAGTACTGTTTTGAAGCCGGGTCTGCCGTATTTGTCCTCGGGGGGGAAGTAGGTGCCGCCGGCGAGGGGTTCGAGGTTGGGGGTGAGAAAGACGGACATTGGCCATCCCCCTCCCCCCACGCTGGCCTGCACGAAGGACATGTAGAGTTTGTCGACGTCGGGGCGCTCCTCGCGGTCTACTTTGATGTTGACGAAGTGCTGGTTCATGATTTTGGCCACGTCGTCGTTTTCGAAGGATTCTTTTTCCATGACGTGGCACCTACGAAGAAAATTGAACGCTCTCACAATGTAACATGTTTTTGTTAGTTTACATTTTTTTAGTGCAATTATGTAGGTTTTCGTTCATTTGATTAACATAAACGTTATTATTCCCGCGATAACAAGTTGTCAAATTGTTTAAGCAGCTACGCTGTCATTTCTTGAACAAAATTTTAATGAAAAATGCAATTTGTGTCCTACGTTACAGTTTTTGTGTTAATTATTGAAGAGAAAAAATAATGGTGGTATACAGCAATATTCTTTAAATAGAGAATTCCAGAAAACAAAATGTCATAACCAAAATTTCATAGTTATAACTTTCTTAACTGAGTTGTTTTCTGACAAATGAATACGAAAATGTCAGTCTCCTGTTATTTTATTAAATAAATAATCTCCAAAACTAATGGACTGACTATAGTGAAACTTTGAATATAGATGCTAAAAAGCTAATCAAAATTTGTATGTTAATCCCAATCAAAAATTTGATGTCATCTCACAATTTTATAAGTAAATTGCAATATTCCAATGGGTGATTCTGGAAAAATTGTAATAAATTAACTCTTAGAAGTCAAAATCTATATGAAAAAGTCTGTAAGTTCCGAAAATGACCGAAATTTTCAAAGACGGGTTTTGAAAAATTTTTGAAAAAGTAGCCAAAAAATTATGAAACAGATTTCGACGTACTTATTGTAAAAAAATATATATCCTGTTTATGGAGCCAGGGTAAGATTTTAGAAATATTCGATTTGAAAATCTTTTTTTTTTAATTCAAAAAATCGCAATATGTCTTTCAATGGACGATTCTGGAAAAATAGTAGGAGTTATCGAAGAAATGAGGCCGAAACTAACTTCTGAAAGTCGAAATCTATAAGAAAATGTGTTTTATGAAGTTTCGAAAATGGTCGAAAATTGGCCAAAATTTTGGGTTTTGAAAAATTTTGCGTTTAAAACGTCGACTAAAAATTCTCGAAAAAGAGACATTGATTTCGATCTCTAGATTAGAAAAAATTTAGCCTGTTTATAGTCCAGAAAACAATTTTAGACGTCCTCGATTTGAAAATCAATTTTTTTGAAAATCCAAAAAATCGCAATATTTTCTTGGACGAAGCCGAAATAAACTTCTAAAGGTCGAAATCTATAAGAAAATGTATTTGGTTGAGTTTGAAAATGATCGAAACGTGGCTAGAATTTTGTGGGGGTTTTGAAAAATTTGACTTATCAAAAAGTTGTCAAAAAATTCCTAAAAAATTCTGGGATATAAATTTCGATGAACTGATTCTAAAGTATAGCGAGTATATGGTCTAAGATATTCGAATCGAATTTTTTTTTTACCAAAAATTGCAATGGACGATTCTGGAGAAATGGTAGGAATTATGGAAGAAATGAGGTTGAAACTAACTTCTGGAGGTCGAAATCTACACGAACATGTATTTGGTTAGGTTTCAAAAATAATCGAAAATTGGCCGAAATTTTTGGTTTTCAAAAATTTTACTTTTAAAAAGTTGCAAAATAATTCCCAAAAAAATCTGGGACATAGATTTCGGCCTGCAAATGGCAAAAATTTTGCGTGTTAATGATATCAGGACAAAATTTTAGAAATATTCGGTTTGAAAATCGTTTTTTTCTTTAATCCAAAAAATCGCAATATTTCAATGGGCGATTCTGGAAAGATAGTAGGAGTTATCGAAGAAATGAGGCCGAAACTAACTTCTAAAAGTCGAAATCTACAAGAAAATGTGTTTCATGAAGTTTCGAAAATGGTCGAAAATTAGCCGAAATTTTGGGTTTTGAAAAATTTTGCGTTTAAAACGTCGACTAAAAATTCTCGAAAAAGAGACATTGATTTCGATCTCTAGATTAGAAAAAATTTAGCCTGTTTATAGTCCAGAAAACAATTTTAGACGTCCTCGATTTGAAAATCAATTTTTTTGAAAATCCAAAAAATCGCAATATTTTCTTGGACGAAGCCGAAATAAACTTCTAAAGGTCGAAATCTATAAGAAAATGTATTTGGTTGAGTTTGAAAATGATCGAAACGTGGCTAGAATTTTGTGGGGGTTTTGAAAAATTTGACTTATCAAAAAGTTGTCAAAAAATTCCTAAAAAATTCTGGGATATAAATTTCGATGAACTGATTCTAAAGTATAGCGAGTATATGGTCTAAGATATTCGAATCGAATTTTTTTTTTTACCAAAAATTGCAATGGACGATTCTGGAGAAATGGTAGGAATTATGGAAGAAATGAGGTTGAAACTAACTTCTGGAGGTCGAAATCTACACGAACATGTATTTGGTTAGGTTTCAAAAATAATCGAAAATTGGCCGAAATTTTTGGTTTTCAAAAATTTTACTTTTAAAAAGTTGCAAAATAATTCCCAAAAAAATCTGGGACATAGATTTCGGCCTGCAAATGGCAAAAATTTTGCGTGTTAATAATATCAGGACAAAATTTTAGAAATATTCGGTTTGAAAATCGTTTTTTTTCTTTAATCCAAAAAATCGCAATATTTCAATGGGCGATTCTGGAAAGATAGTAGGAGTTATCGAAGAAATGAGGCCGAATCTAACTTCTAAAAGTCGAAATCTACAAGAAAATGTGTTTCATGAAGTTTCGAAAATGGTCGAAAATTAGCCGAAATTTTGGGTTTTGAAAAATTTTGCGTTTAAAACGTCGACTAAAAATTCTCGAAAAAAGACATTGATTTCGATCTCTAGATTTACAAAAAATTTAACCTGTTTATGGTCCGGAAAAAAGATTTTAGACGTCCTCGATTTGAAAATCAATTTTTTTGAAAATCCAAAAAATCGCAATATTTTCTTGGGCGAAGCCGAAATAAATTTCTAAAGGTCGAAATCTATAAAAAAATGTATTTGGTTAAGTTTGAAAATGATCGAAACGTGGCTAGAATTTTGTGGGGGTTTTGAAAAATTTGACTTATCAAAAAGTTGTCAAAAAATTCCTAAAAAATTCTGGGATATAAATTTCGACGAACTGATTCTAAAGTATAGCGAGTTTATGGTCCCAAGCTAAGATATTCGAATCGAAAAAAATTTTTTTTTACCAAAAATTGCAGTGGACGATTCTGGAGAAATGGTAGGAATTATGGAAGAAATGAGGTTGAAACTAACTTCTGGAGGTCGAAATCTACACCAACATATCTTTAGCTAGGTTTCAAAAATAATCGAAAATTGGCCGAAATTTTTGGTTTTCAAAAATTTTACTTTTAAAACATTGCAAAATAATTCCCAAAAAAATCTGGGACATAGATTTCGGCCTGCAAATGGCAAAAATTTTGCGTGTTAATGATATCAGGACAAAATTTTACAAATATTCGGTTTGAAAATCGTTTTTCTTTAATCCAAAAAATCGCAATATTTCAATGGGCGATTCTGGAAAGATAGTAGGAGTTATCGAAGAAATGAGGCCGAAACTAACTTCTGAAAGTCGAAATCTATAAGAAAATGTGTTTCATGAAGTGTCGAAAATGGTCGAAAATGGTCGAAAATTGGTCGAAATTTTGGGTTTTGAAAAATTTTGCGTTTAAAACGTCGACTAAAAATTCTCGAAAAAAGAGACATTGATTTCGATCTCTAGATTACAAAAATTTTAGCCTGTGTATGGTCCCGAAAAAATTCATACGAGGGTATTGGAAAATTTTGCTTTAGAAAAAGTTGGCAAAAAATTACTAAAAAAATCCGGGACAAAATTCGGTTCGAAAATCTTTTTTTGTAATCCAAAACTTACAATACAATATGCGATTTTGGAAAAAATAACAGGATTTATGGAAGAAATGAGACCGAACCTAATTTCTAGAGATCGAAATCTATACGAAAATGTGTTTTGTTAAGTTTCGAAAATGGTCGAAAATTCGCCAAAATTTTCAAGGAGGGGTATTGAAAATGTTTTGCAGAAGTGGCCAAAAAATTCTAAAGTACAGATTACGACGTACTGATTCCAAAAATATAGCATATTTATAGAGCCGGGACAAGGTTTTCGAAATATGTATTCAGTTTGAAATTTTTTTTTTTTTTTATTCCAAAAAATCGCAATATTTCAATGGCTGATTCTGGAAAACTTGTAGGAATTATCGACGAAGTCAGGTCGAAACCAACTTCTGGAAGTCGAAAACTATACGAAAATATCGAAAATGTTTGAAAACTAGAAGAAATTTTGGGTTTGAAAAAATGTTGCTTTTAAAACGCTGACTAAAAATTGCTAAAAAATTCTGGGACATGGATTTCGACCTCCAGAATACAAAAAATTAACATGTTTATAGTCCCGTAAAAAGATCTTACGATATCCTCGGTTAAAAAATCGATTATTTTGAAAATCCAAAAAATCGCAAGATTTTCTTGGACGATGCCGAAATGAACTTCTAAATGTCGAAATCCATTAAAAATGTCCTTGGTTAAGTTTGAAAATGATCGAAAACTGGCTAGAATTTTCATAGAAATGGGGTTTAGAAAAATGTTACTCACCAAAAAGTTAGCAAAGAGTTTCCAAAAAATTCTGGGTTTTGACAAATTTTGCTTATCAAAAAGTTGTCAAACAATTCCCAAAAAATTCTGGGATATAAATTTCGACGAGCTAATTCTAAAATATAGCAGGTTTATGGTCCCTGGGCAAGATTTTAGAAACATTCGAATCGAAAATCTTTTTTAACTAAAAATTGAAATGAGGTTGAAACTAACTTCTGGAGGAGGTCGAAATCCCCACGAATATGGTCGAAAATTAGCCGAAATTTTTGGTTTTCAAAAATGTTTCTTTTAAAAAGTTACAAAAAATTACTCAAAAAATCTGAGACATAGATTTCGGCCTGTAAACGGCAAAAATTTTGTGTGTTTATGATCTCAGAACACAATTTTAGAAATATTCGGTTTGAATTTTTTTTTTTTTTATCCAAAAAATCGCGATATTTCCTTGACCGATGCTGGAAAAATGCTAGGAGTTACGAAAGAAATGAAATAACGAACTGCTAGAGGTTGAAATCTTGCATAAGAAAATTTTTAGTTAAGTTTGAAAATGCTCCAAAATTGGCCGAAATTTTCAAAGAGGAGGGGGTTGAAAAATTTTGCTTTTGAAAAAGTTGTCAAAAAATTACTAAAAAAATCTGGGATATAGATTTCGACGTGTTGATTCCCAAAAAAATATATAGCGTGTTTATGGTCCAGGTCAAAATTTTAGAAATATTCAGTTTGAAACTCGTTTTTTTTTTCTTAACCCAAAAAATCGCAATATTTCAATCGGCGATTCTGGAAAAAAAGGTAGGAGTTACCAAGGAAATGAGGCAGAAACTAACTTCTGGAAGTCGAAATCTATACGGAAATATCGAAAATTGTCGAAAACTGACCGGAATTTTGGATTTGAAAATTTTAAAACGGGAACAAAAAATTCCCAAAAATTCTGGGACATAGATTTCGACCTCCAGATTATAAAAAATTGGCCTGCTCATGGTCCCAAAAAAAGATTTTAGAACTTCTGGGTTTGAAAATAAATTTGTCTGAAAATCCAAAAAATCGCAATATTTTCTTGGACGAAGCCGAAATAAACTTCTAAAAGTCGAAATCAATAAAAAAAGTCTTTGGTTAAGTTTGAAAAAGATCTAAAACTGACCAAAATTTTCGATTATACTTATCAAAAAGTTGTCAAAAAATTTTCAAAAAATTTTGATACATAGATTTCGACGTGCTGATTCTACAATATAGCGAGTTTATCGTCCCAAAAATGTCTTTAATTAAGTTTGAAAATGATCGAAAACTAACCAAAATTTTCGTAGAGGGAGGTTTTGAAAAATTCTGCACATCAAAAAGTTGTCAAAAATTCCCAAAAAAGAAATACTGGGACATACATTTCGACTTGCATATTACAAAAATTTTGCGTCGTTATAATCTTAAGGCAAGATTTTAGAAATATTCAGTTTGAAATCAATTTTTTTAATAAAAAAAAATCCCAATATTTCAAGCGATGCTAGAAAAATGGTAGAAGTTTTCGAAGAAACGAGATCGAAACGAATTTCTGTATAAGAAAATGTCTTTAGTTAAAATCCGAAAATGGTCGAAATGGCCAAAATTTTCATAACGAGGTATTAAAAAATTTAGTTTTTGAAAAAGTTGCCAAATTATGAAATTGATAACGAAAAATTACGATGATGTCATCAAATTTTTTGAGGAAATAAAGAAAGGAAATTTTGATTACAGATGTGTACAAGAACCTTAAACGTCTGCAAGATTTCAGAATAATCGGTTTTGTAGATCGTACAATTATGATTTTCTTTTTTCTAAAAATGTAAACTAAAGGCGGATTAATAAACTACAAGTACAGAAGCATATTACTTTCTGAAATTCTGATAGGATTTACGCAGCAAAATTTCGAAATGACATCAAATTGTGGGAATCATGAGACAAATGTTGGTTAACATCTTACTACCTATGCGATATTCTTAAAATAACAGATGAAAACGGAGGGATTACTTTTTTATATTCTAGGCGCTATGAAACCTCAAGCTTACGCTTGGCAAGTAACAATTTCATAATCAAATTTAGTGCTTACAAAGCATTAACAATATAATTTTTTATTCTTCACCAAAAAATGTAACTAAGTAAAACACCCCAAAATCAACAACCAAACGGACGTACAACAATAAAAAGTGTGATTTTAGAGTATGCTGTAAAATTGACTTCGAGACATGTATTTTCCAACCAATAGGAAAGATTGTTGATTTTCATAACAAACAGAGAACACTGTATGTGGTGGTTCTTTTATGGAAATAAACATTTATAGAATGTGTACCCTAAAATAATAAAATTTAATTACATATAAACATCTTATGAAACTGCCCTTGAAAAAAAAACATGTGACCTTGTTCTTCACTTCAGTCTGAAGTGTTATTCATTCTTCAGAAATTTTAACCAAATCTTGGCTTATATTAAAAAAAAAACAGATTTATAAAAATACTGCATATTTTTAAATGCCAACAATCATTATCATGTCTGTGATATCAAAGTAAACTGCAAAACCCCGTCCCTGCATAAATCAAAACATTTACCAGTGACACGTCGAATACCCCACAGACAGAAAAATCAGCTTATTCTCCTTCTTCGCCCTATCGAACGCCTCTTCCCCCCATGGGTACCAATCCACCGGATTCGTAGCATGCTGCAACAAATACGGCGACTTCTCCAGCGCCAAACGGTTGCCCTTCGGCTTCGGAAGCTCAACATTAGAAGTCGACGTAGTTGCCTCGTTCGACATTGTTCGCACCAACAGCTTTTCAACTTTTCGGCCCAATGACACTGACCTACAAACACTGTTGATGTAGCGGAAGGTCACCATTAACCATTACTAAACGAATTGTCGCCAGTCAAGGTTAGATCTAACGTGATGTGACAAACGTAGCGCTCGAAATTTGAACCGAATTTACCTACCTACTACTGGCTTTTATGGGCACTTGTGGATCCTGTTGAAGGAATTTGCCGGGCAAAGCTGACACACTGGCTGAAGCGTGCAAATTATTTGATAGATGCAAATCTCCATTTGACAGTGACAAGCGGCGAAATAATTTCTGCAAGGCTGGATTTTGCACGACACGCGCAACGATCATAGCGGACTGGGTCTACATAGCGGGGGGACTCAACACGAAATGTTTACATGGGTTGTTATTAATAAATAAGGTGAAAGGACAGGAATTTTTTGAGGCAACTTGCTGGTTAGAGTTGTTGACAATTTTGACAAGAGCAAGGACGGCGGGAACATTAAATCAGAAGACGCACTGTATTCATGAAATGAGGAGGTAGTGTGCACGATAAACACTTATTTTTTTAATTGGAAATTTAAGTAGTCGCTAATGCGTTCTAATCGCTGTAGTTACAATGTTTTTATTGATGTTTTTGTTAAAAAATACTCAACAGTAGATTGTAATTTGACTAACATTACTGGTCACGATTTTAACCGAAGTGTCAAGGATTCAAGGAAAAACATCGAGCAAAGATCATGAGTTCAAATAAATACTTTGAAACTGTTCCACAACTGCTCATCGTCGTGCTGTAATGTTTTTTATTCATCATAGCTCTGCCTCTGATTAATTTCAAACCTCAAAACAATATAGTCTAATAAATTTTATAAACTTTAAAGCTACATTTCAAACTTCAAATCGACACTTCGTCGAGTGGACTGTAAACCTTACCCCTCCCTAAATTTCAAAAGCACAGTGCTGCCCCCAACGTCAACTACGTCAAGAACGCCTCTGCAATCGTTCATTTCGTGCAACGAGTTGGGTAAGTAAAGTTCATCCTTCGTTTTTCTCTAATTCTAAAGAAAAAACAAAAATATCACCACCACCACGTTTCCTAAACATTACTTAAAACAAACTTCTAAATTTTTTTACATAAATTTCACGGATTGTGGATATTTTTGCTGATTTCTGCCGCCTTAATCATTGGGCAAGGGGAATTGTAAAAACCGATTCAATAACCCCTAATCAGATAAGGCGAAATTAAAACCTCGTTTAATCCCAGAAAGTACAATTACTTATCTGATTCATGGCGAGGTAACACTTTTTTCGCAAAAATCGGGTAAATTCACCACGTGTACACGCCAATGTTTGCTTTTACAGTGACGGCTCGTCTTGGCCACGATGGTCAACGGTAGGATCCCCACTGTCTGTTCTAAGACTTACGTTACCCCGAGACGTCCCTATGAAAAGGCACGTTTGGACCAAGAATTGAAGATCATTGGTGAATATGGTCTGAGAAACAAGCGTGAAGTATGGCGCGTGAAATACACGTTGGCCAAGATCCGTAAAGCTGCTCGGGAGTTGCTTACTCTGGAAGAGAAGGATCCCAAAAGATTGTTTGAAGGTGAGTTTTGTAATTATTGTTGTTTAATTGTGCCCTGACGCCACGCTCCCATTGGCTTTTTGTCAATGAGGAGTGCCAAATCTAATTTGTAAAAGGGCAGATTAAATCCCGCTAGGAAGCAGACTTATTCACTATGAGTAAATCTGTGCCGAAAGTTAGGGAAACATTTTTTTATATATATATATATATATATTTCGCTAAAAGTGTCTAGGTGGCAACACTGTTTCAACATCTGTCGTTAATTTCAGGTAACGCGTTGTTGCGTCGTTTGGTCCGAATCGGCGTCTTGGACGAGAACAGAATGAAGCTCGATTACGTTTTGGGTCTCAAGATTGAAGATTTCTTGGAAAGGCGTCTCCAAACCCAGGTTTTCAAACTGGGTCTGGCCAAATCAATCCATCACGCTCGAGTATTGATCAGACAAAGACATATCCGGTAATAATGATAATGATGTTGACGATTTTTCATAAAGGCCACTTAGTTGAATAACTAATGCCTTGAAAATGTTGCCAGTTTGGCAGGTAATTCCACGTTTTATTAGTTCCGAGTCTAGAGTCACTTGATAGGCGACGCGATGCTTAGACAAGTGCTAAAGAAACTCGAAGAGAAATGATACCAGCTCTTATGCCCCAACTTAGCTATTATAGTTAAGTTGGGTACCTTGTGAGGCGACATGGCATCTAAAATAACTTTTGTATTTTTTGCTAAGAACACTTAAGACGTTTTGGTTCTTTTACAGGGTCCGCAAGCAGGTGGTAAACATTCCATCGTTCATTGTGAGATTGGACTCGCAAAAACACATTGACTTCTCGCTGAAATCACCCTTCGGTGGTGGCCGTCCTGGACGCGTCAAGAGGAAGAACCTCCGCAAAGGAACAGGCGGCGGTGGAGGAGGCGAAGAAGAAGAAGATTAAACTCCACACTTTGTTTATTTGAAAAAATAAATATTTACAACACCAATTTGACTTTTATTTCATTAAAATTTATCAGAATATTTTTTTTACTAGTAAAAGTTTACTCAGGCCTAAGCATTTAATCACGTCAGATTCCAAAATATCCGTTCACGATCTTTATATAGTAGGGTTGGCCATAAAAATTTAGTGAGTTTGTTGGTATTCAATGCAGAAGAATAAAAATTCCCTGAACCTTTTTCGTTAGGTTATGTTTTATTAAATTAAAGGTTAAAAAATATGCCAAGAATGTAAACATTGTTGCCGATACTTTCAGTTTTCAGTAGCAATGACCAAGTTAACGGTATCCATTTCTTAGAAAGCCTAAAACTTTACGCTATTTAAAACAGTTATTTGGCTTTTTGTAAATGTTTATTTCTTATGTAAGGAACAAACACTAAAATTTCCCTTAAACATTGTTTTTATATGAATGGGGGTTCTACATACCTACGACTATTGTCGCATGCCACATTTAGCATCTCATCTTTAATTCTCAATCATCAGTTCGTTTTGTTCGCCCACTCTTCTTAGAAATGGAAATTTGGACCTTTATAAACAGCCTATTTCCACATCTTCCAACTTCTTTTATCACTTTTCTAAGATTACTAAAAGGGTTGGTAAAAGACAACAACCTTGCTCTAGTGCTTTGATTGGTTTAGCTCTTCTGAAACATTTTTCCGGCCTTAAATTGAACGATTTATCTATATAGCTATTACCATTGTTTAAGTATTATGCTATTACTAATGCTTACGAAGTGCTCTTTACCGTCATTTTCAAATTCTGATCCTGAATCAGATTCACCTAGCGAAATAATGAAAGGAGGTATAGATTCGTACGAAAGATTTCCCACATTTTTTTCCCAATCTGCCAAAATAAGTTTTTCGCAATGTTTACAAAAATGTTGCCACATGCTTGGAATACATTTAGGAAGCGCCTCAAGCCATAAATTCTCCACCCTATTTTTTAACGAAGGTTGAGAATGTATATGCTTGTTGTAATAGTTCTTACAAAATCCCCACGCCATTTTAATTGGATTATATTGACAATGGTACGGAGGTAATCTAAGAACTTCATGGCCAATTTCTCTTAATGTCTCGTCTACCAAATATCTTTTTTCTATTGTTTCTGAAGAGTTTAATTAAATCCTACAACTGTTTCTTCGAAAATTTTTTGTCAAATTCAACACTATGTTTAAAGAGCCATTCCTGCATTTCACATTTTTTAGAAAAAGTGGGTGGTTTATCCAACTGAACCGAATGATACGGTGCATTGTCTAAAACCACCACACATTTTTGGTTCAACTTTGCCAAAGCAGGAATGAGCTGATTAACCACCCAATTTTGAAAAATTGTCCCGTCCATCGTTTTATGATAGTCTCTATCGTTATTTTTTGAATTTGAATTGTTACAAGAACCCCTTTGAACAACCCGCGTAGAGAATAGTAAACCTTGATCCTTCATTTTTAATTTTGGTGAGATTGTTTTTTAGATCAGTATCGTGCACCCAGCAGCGAATGGACGAACCATTTTGATAGATCCATGTTTCATCCAAATACACGAAAGTCAAATCTTCACAAGAATTTAGAAACTGTAAATATGTTCTCAAAAAAGTAATTTTGGCTGCAACGACATGTTTTTGTTCACATAGAATTTTGAGGCGTTTCTAATTTGCAGACCACAGTTTATCTTGCAGACCGGGGGTTAAAAATGCTCCAATCAAGTTAAAATTTGACATTCGCTAGTTTTTTAATACGAGGATTAGTGATGCAAAATTTCAGCCCATTCGGAGAAACCTTCAAAAATCACCCCAAAACAACCTTGCAGACTGGGGGTTAAAAATGCTCCAATCAAGTCAAAACTCGATATTTGCTTATTTCTTAATACGAAGATTGTTTTGATACAAAATTTCAACCCGTTCGGAGAAATCGTTGAAAACTACCCCCAAAACAACCTTGCAGACTGGGTGTTAAAAATACTCCAATCACATCAAAACTCGAGATTTGCTTATTTATCAATACGAAGATTATTAATACAACATTTCAACCCGTTCGGAGAAACCGTTAAAAACTACCTCTAAAACAACCTTGCAGACTAGGGCTTAAAAATACTCAAATTACGTCAAAATTTGACATTCGCTAGTTTTTTAATACGAGGATTATTGATGCAAAATTTCACTCCATCCGGAAAAACCCTCAAAAATCACCCCCAAAGCAACCTTGCAGACTGGGGGTTAAAAATGCTTCAATCAAGTTAAAACTCGATATTTGCTTATTTCTCAATACGAAGATTGTTCATTAAAAATTTCAATCCGTTCGGAGAAACCGTTAAAAACTACCCCCACAACAAACTTGCAGACTGGAGCCTAAAAATACTCGAATCAAGTCAAAATTTGACATTCGCTAGTTTTTCAATACGGTGATTATTGATGGAAAATTTCCGCCTATTCGGAGAATAGGGGTTAAAAATATTCCAGTCAAGTCAAAACTCGACATTTGCTTATTTATCAAAACGAGGATTGTTGATACAAAATTTCAATACATTCGGAGAAATCTTTAAAAGAAACAGACTAGGGATTAAAACAGTGTCGGACTGGCTCATCCGGCTACCCGGCGATCGCCCTAAAAGCTCAGGGTCCCTAACGAATCACTTCAAAAAATTATTTTTTTATTTAAATTTAATTTAGTTTTTTAATTTATTTTTTTATTATTTTATTGTTAATTATTAATTAATTTATTAATATTTAAATTTAAAAAATATATAAATTACGAATATAGGAGTATTTGTTATAGATACGTGAATTGCGATAATTTGAGTTCATGTTTATCACTGTTAGATAATAATCAGTTGCTACTATGTAAGAATGCATAAGTTCGGAATTTTTTCGTCCAGTCTCTCATTTTAGGGTGTGTTTTTACACGTCATTTTTGCTGTTAACTTGGTTCATTCAGTACATATGATATACTGGTTTTGAGTTCTTTGAGGTATAATTAAACTTTCATCATCAGTCAAAAAATACAAAGTGGTGTCCAGAAGAGAAAATTTAAAATTCATAGGAAACAAAATCTCAAAGATATTTTAAAGAAAATTAGAAACATTTTTAATTTCTGAGAAACCTAACGTAAAAAAAACGTTTTGAGAGAAAGTTTAAATTAATCATAGGAAGCTCAAACTTCATTTTATTTGAATTTCAAAAAGAACCCAGAAATGTGCTAATTTCTTAATTAATTATTATTAATGGGAAAACAGATAAAGATCCGTTATAGTCAATACGAGCCAAAATTGTCTTCATATGTAGGTCTTACAGCCTTTGGATGGTGTCCACGTCCATTTCTCTAACTTTCTGGTAATTTGTTCTTCTAAATTGGCTTACCAGCCGTTGTTTTAAACCTTTCTACTTAGTATTGCCCAAATTTTGTTTTCGATTGTTCGCACGGGGGGCACTATGGAGGGATTATCTTAGGTACAAAATTTATATTATTTCTTTCTAACCAATCCCTGGACATTGTAGTATAATGGCATTTTGCTAAATCTGGTCAAAATATTACATCGTCGTTATTATGGTGTTTCCATATATTGTTATGTATTGACCGCGTCATTTCTAATACGGCCAATGAATGGTGCTGAACCGCTAGCCGAAGATATAGCCCATCAAACAAAAATTTTATCTTCAAACTTTGCCTTCGACTTAATTTTATTTGTAATTTCTTCTATATTGTTTATATAAAATCCATCCTTCCATCTCTGAATAGGCAAACGTAAAATATTTTTCATCGTCCAGCACAACCACACGATTGTCCAAAAAATGATGCTGCGATGCTCTATGTTTTGAACATTTAGCTCTTTTGCTGTCTCTCAAATTGTCGCTCTGTTTCTGTTATTTTGTTAAATTAAATTTAATTCTGTGTTTATTTGTCTTCTTTTTTTGCTAATTTATATATCATGTGTCAATAGTGAATAGTTCTTTAATGAAATAACGACCACTAGTTAAATTAATAATTTTTAAAGTTTGGTTTTGCGAAATTTTTCAGGGTGGCCGGTTTTTTTGCCGGTGAGTGTATATGCATTAGAATAAAATTATAAAAGGTAACAAAACAATATTTTTCATAATTAACAATGTAAAATTGAGATCATTGGGTGATTCCGCAGTTGTTGTGGGAATTAGCTCGGTTTGTGCGAATGTGGAGATAACACTTAACCAATTAAAAACTCAAGTAAATTTGCTGCTGCTGCTGCTTTTATATGCTTTCTTATGAAATTATTTTTGTTTTATATCTAGTATCCCACAAACGCTTTCTAGCACGCCACTGGAACAACCAGTTTCTCGAAGGACCTGGAACAACCATTTATGACTCTAGTAGAAAGCACGGTACCAGGCATTATTTTAAACTATCTTCCCTCCCCTCATTCTTCCTCTATGGTGCGCAACTACTTTAGGAATATATACTGTCTCTTTATATGTGTCTAAAATATTTTTAAGGCCCAGTTTACAAAGTTGTTTTGCGGGTAGTTTTTGAGGGTTTCTTCAAATAGGCTGAAATTTTGTATCGATAATCTCCGTATTGAGAGACTAGCGAATATAAAATTTTGGCTTGATTGGAGTATTTTTAAGCCCCAGTCTGCAAGGTTGTTTCCGGGTAGTTTTCAACGATTTCTCCGAACGGGTTGAAATTTTGTATCAACAATCTTCGTATTGCGAAATTAGGAAATATCGAGTTTTGACTTGATTAAAGCATTTTTACCCCCAGTCTGCAAGCTTGTTTTGGGGGTGATTTTTAAGGGTTTCTTCGAATAGGCTGAAATTTTGTACCGATAATCCTCGTATTAAGAAACTAGCGAATATCAAATTTTGACTTGATTGGAGTATTTTTAAGCCCCAGTCTGCAAGGTTGTTTTGGGGGTAGTTTTTAACGATTTCTCCGAACAGGCTGAAATTTTGTATCAACAATCTTCGTATTAAGAAATTAGGAAATATCGAGTTTTGACTTTATTGGAGTATTTTTAAGCTCCAGTCTGCAAGGTTGTTTTGGGGGTAGTTTTTAACGATTTCTCCGAACGGGTTGAAATTTTGTATCAACAATCTTCGTATTGAGAAATAAGCGACTGTCGAGTTTTGACTTGATTGGAGTATTTTTAACCCCCAGTCTGCAAGGTTTTAGGGGTGATTTTTGAGGGTTTCTGCGAATAGGCTGAAATTTTGTACCGATAATCCTCGGGTTGAGAAACTAGCGAATATCAAATTGTGACTTGTTTGCAGTATTTTTAAGCCCCAGTCTGCAAGGTTGTTTTAGGGGTGGTTTTTAAGGGTTTCTCCGAAAGGGTTGAAATTTTGTATCAACAATCTTCGTATTGAGAAATGAGGAAATATTGAGTTTTGACTTGATTGAAGTATTTTTAACCCCCAGTCTGCAAGGTTGTTTTGGGGGTGGTTTTTAAGGGTTTCTCCGAACGGGTTGAAATTTTGTATCAACAATCTTCGTATTGAGACATTAGGAAATATCGAGTTTTGACTTGATTGGAGCATTTTTAACCTCCAGTCTGCAAGATTGTTTTGGAGGTGATTTTTAAGGATTGCTCCGAACGGCTTGAAATTTTGTATCAACAATCTTCGTATTGAGAAATTAGCGACTGTCGAGTTTTGACTTCATTGAAGCATTTTTAATCCCCAGTCTGCAAGGTTGTTTTGGGGGTGATTTTTGAGGGTTTTTTCAATAGGCTGAAATTTTGTATCGATAATCTTCGTATTGAGAAACTAGCGAATCTCAAATTTTGATTTGATTGGAGTATTTTTAAGCCCCAGTCTGCAAGGTTGTTTTGGGGGTGGTTTTTAAAGGTTTTACCGAACGAGTTGAAATTTTGTATCAACAATCTTCGTAGTGAGAAATAAGCAAATCTCGAGTTTTGACTTGATTGCAGTATTTTTAACCCCCAGTCTGCAAGATAAACTGTGGTCTGCAAATTAGACAGGCCCAGAATTTTGCGACCACTTACTTCCCTGTGTTTATAATCCATTGACTTAAGAATTTTGTATAATATGGTTCGCCCCCATTTCCATTCCAACTGTTCCCTAGAATATGCCAACAGAGTATCTACAGGGAAATATTCGTTTTTTTTTTATTAAGTTGCCAAATTAAAATTTGTCGTTGCAGGTCTTTCCGAAACAAATAATTAGTAAATAAATCCGTTGGTTTTCGCTCGCCAGATAGTGATGTTTTTAAATTTTGGTCTCCTGTTGATAAAATTTTCGCCACAATTAATTAAAATTGTCTTCTACTAATGCGCTTTTAGACAGTTTGTCTATTTTCGATGCCAATTTGACTTTTATTTCACTTAAATTTACACAATCTTCTATAGATAATTAATAAATTTTGACAAATTAGCTTGATAGATACGTGAAATACCTACATTCGTCCTCCAAGGTCAAGGTTAATTTTTTGCCAGTTTTACTGGCCTTGACTCTTGTGTTTGGGAAGCTCATATTTGCTTCTCCTCTTGTACTAACTGCCTTGCCTTTTGTGCCTGGGAAGCTCTCATTTGCATTTCGTGAGGGTCTACCGGCAGAGCACCGATGTTGTTAACTTGTTCTTTAGAAACATGCAAGTCTAAATATTCCCTTTTATTTTAATTATACTTACTGTCAGGTCCTGCGGTTTTGGATTCTTCTGGATTTTTTTTCTCATATCCACAATATATACTCTAGTTAAGAAGACTTACCTTCACTTGCGATAGCACCTTGTGCTTCAGCATTAATAAGAGTAGAACGATCTTGCTGTGGTTTGTCCGATTCCTGAAACAATCTCAAATTACTGACTAGTTTAGGCAAATTTTGACTTTTACTACAGGCTGAGCTGAACCTTTGCTGATTCGGCCTTGTTGGCCCTCTCGCTTATTTGTTTTCTTATAGAGGATCTCTAGATTTATACATCTAAAAATATAAATTAACAAGATTCGTTACTTATAAATGAAAATATACGTGATTATCAATTCCTTTAATGTATTCATCTTGCAAGGGAGATATTTCAGGTCCCCACTGTTCTAGGAAGTGTCCCAATCTTGTAACTCTCTGCTGCGGGGTTGTCACAGTGTGACTGCCGCCACAATATCGGTTACAGATGTGATCTTTTCTACAAAAACTTATATAAATCACCATTTCTAGTTTATCTAAACACTTTACTCTTTTTGTCCTCGTGTTTTCAGTGCTGTTTCTATGTAGTTCAAATTCTTGCTACCGGGTACACTGGAAGAAAAATCGTTCACCTCTATATTTCAGTATACAATATGTCTTACCATTTCTGTTGTTTCCTCAGTCGATCCAAATCATAAGCAATATAAGGAGCCATGTTTCTATTAGGTGGCATAGCATAAGCCTTCGGCTTCAACGACTGATCCATTTCTCTCCTCATTACCACATATTTATCGCAAGATATACAGTTAACATTCCTCAGAAATTTGGTCTTGGTGCCTGCAGCCTCTTGCTCTCTCTTGAGAGCGGTCAAAGACTTGAACTTCTCCTGCAGAGCCTTAAGTTTACTATTAACGAAATCTCGCAATGGATCCACTTCCATCTTGTCAAGTTTATTGCCGACTTCCTTCTGAATGGAATCGAGAGCTTGTGGCCACATTTCTGCCTACCGTAACAGTTAAAACTAACACATTTATGCAATTCCTCACTTACTTGTTCTTCCAATTTGTTCAAAATCTCTTCTATGCCTTTCGACAAATCGTCGCATGCCGCATCGAACTGATCATGCGACACTTTTCTGTTGATCACACAAGCATCAGCTTTTTCCCCTAGTGCATCTTGTAGATCTTCGCGATTCGCTTTAACGATCTTCAGCACGTCAAGCTGTTCTAAAATGGCCTAAACCACAACGTAATTGTACATGAAAGAAAAGTTTATTAATTTACTTGTGTTTGTTTGTCACGCTCAGCTCTGCCTTCTTCTAAATTTCGGACTTGCTCGGAAATCGCGATGATTTCTTTCTCAAGAAGAGCAAGTTTGTTGGTTAAGTCAGTAGTTGTTTCGGCACCCACATCAGTGGAATCTTCTCCCGGAAGGCTAAAAGACAATATATAATGCACAAAGTGTAAAATTTCTGTTTGTTATTTACAACACTTCGAGTTTCGTCAAGATGTCAGTTATATCGTCTTGCACAGAAGCAAATTACTCGTTTACTAATTTTGTTTAATTGCTTTATGTATAAATTATTCATGTCTGACAACTACTGGGTGTATCGTTTGAATTTGTTTTCGACGGCAGCTGTACTTAGTTTACCCACTTCCGCTGCTCCAAAAACTGCATGTGTTAATGATATGAGAAGTTTTACTAGCTACGTGAAAGTCGATACTAGATTAATAGATTAACTACCTCTAGATTTCCTGCATCACCGCTAAATCATCTTTTAGTGTTAAATCTCTTACTTCGATAATAAAAAATATCTGGTTGACCGAGTTTCACTCGGCTCGTTTGGTAGTATTAGATCAGATTAGGACAGATAAATATGCGTATAGTATGCATTTTGAAGTACACGCGCTACTTAAAAATACACATTAAAAAAGAAATTCCATAAGCAGTCTTTGTTTTAAACACTGATAAGTGACATGTAGAGATTAAAGAACAGAAAACTGGAATTATTGTTTGACATCTCATTTGTTACCCAAGTTTTCTCTCTGTCGTTTTTTTTTTTCTTAGTTCTCTCTCTCGACTCTAGAAAAAGGTCACAACCACATTCATACTGCCAGAAGATTTTCGCCTCTGGTGTGGTTAACATACTGAGTTACCGTGCTCTTTTGTGTTATTCCTAATTTCTCAATCTCAACCCTGCTCCCGAAGATGCCATTTACGAAAGTGTGCGAAACGTTGAGCCCAAAAACTCAAATAACACGGTCCCATCCCCGAAAACGATCACATGTTGACACTGACCGTGGAACCTCTGAAATGAATGCTTGACAAAATAATCTCAATTCAACACACTTTCGTGTGCCTTTTATCCGCTCACTGTTTAGTTTTTGGTAAATTTTCTCACCTCAGGAGGTGAATTTCAACGTCCTCTATACAGTGGAGCATGTTTCGGTACGTACAATTGAAGATAAAAAGGTACGTCAAACGTACTGTCAGACTGTCACCCAAACTTCTCATATAAAACAATCGCGTGTTCGTGTAGTGTCATCTGATGTTGCCTAGCAACAAATATAATTCACTGCCTGAAAATTGCTGAAAATGCATGAAGCTGTAATTTTCAGAAGTTAAAACTATGATCAATCGATTTCTTGACCCAAAAAACCCCTAACCTGTAAATTTCATCGAAATCGTTAGATCCGTTTTCGAGAAACCCATTACATAGATATATATATACAAACTTTGCTCGTTTAATAGTATTAGATTCTTACTTTTCAGCAGAACTACTTTTTTTATTAGTAAAAGTTTACTCAGGACTAAGTATTTAATCACTACAGATTGCAAAATATGTACCTTTTCTTCTGCATGTATCTCCTCCGACGCTGCCTTCTACTACTGCGTTTCTGGGTTCGATTGCTTTTTTAATCTGGGTTTGACAGCAGTGGAGGAGGTGAAGAAGGAGACGAAGAAGAAGAAGAAGAAGTTTAAACTCCACAGTTTGTCTATTTGAAGTACATAATAAATATTTACACAAATTTGACTTTTATTTCACTAAAATTTATCACAATATTCTAGAAAATGAATGAATTTTGACAAATTAGTTTGACAGAAACGTGAAGTACATTCGTCTCCCAAGCTCAAGATTAATCTTGTGGCAGTTTTACTGACTGTCGTGTCTCTTGCGTCTGAGAAGCCACCATTTGCATTTCCTGAGGGTCTACCACCACACCTCCGAAGCTGTTAACACCTTCCCACCACCCTACGAGTACAAGAGAGATTACTCCTCCCTGGGAACATCCCCTGTCTACAACAGCCTCGATCTCAGTGCCACCTACATTAATCAGTACTTACCTATTCCATAGCATACCAGTCACCCACCTACTCAGGGTGAGGTTCACGTCGCGCTCTTGTAGGACTAGTCTTATGCTTTTGAAGGTCGTTTTATCGAACGCTTCTTCAATATCCAAGAACATCCCTAAGGTGGAGAGTTTGTTCTCTATCGCCTACTCTATACGGTTTACAACTGTGTGTAACGCCGTATCCGTGGATCTTTCTTGGATGTAGGCATGTTGGTTCGGATGTAGAGGCTTAAAGCGAATCTCTTTTCCGCTTAGTCTTTCTAGCGTTTTCAGCACGAATGATGTTAAGCTAATTGGTCTATAGGATTTAACCAAGATGTAGTCTTGTCGTCCTGGATTAGGTATAAAGATAACCTTTACTTTTCGCCATGCATTCGGTATATAGCTGAAAGCCACACACTCCCGAAGCATTGGCAACAAGATAGGGCGTAGTCTGCTCATTCCTCTCTGCAGGAGGGCGGGATAGACACCGTCCACTCCCGGAGCTTTACACGGGGAAAGGGTGTGAACTGCCGACTCCAGTCTTGCCTTCGTAACTAACTCTGCCGCCAGCGCCCAGTCCTTCAGGGGAGGTTGAGTACCGGCTACATCCCTTTTGGAATGGGAGGTAGCCCTTATGCTGCCTGGAAACATAGTCTGCAGCAAAATGTGACTGTAAAAGTGCCATTTTCTTTTTTTAGGAAACCTGGTTGATGTGTGTAGTCCTTCGAGGGGACTCTCTTCAGCCTTGCGGCCGAAGCAGTCGACGTTATGTCGCTGCAAAAGGATCTCCACGATTCCCGTTTCCTCTTTCTTAATTATTTCTTAAACTCTTTCCGGTGGTGTTTATAGGCTTCCCAGTCTTTGGTTTTCTTAGTGTTTTTTGCTCTACTGAAAAATTTTCTTAACCCCGATTGAAGTATTCTGAGCCTTCGGTTTCACCATGGTGTACCTTTGTCAGGCCTTCCTTCTTTAGGGGGCAACTTTTCTCGTAAGCTGACATTAGAGAGTCGTTGATAATGGACAATGGTTCATGTGCTCCTTGTGGTAAGTACACGGATGCTAATACCAGTTGCCCTTCGCCTCTTCCTATGTTGCACTTAACATTTAGCGCAGTCACATCCCTAGAACTGACCCGAGGTAGAGGACAGCTTTAATATTCCTGGGAATGTAAATGCATGTCCCTGTAGATTCTATTGTGGTACTTACAACAACAGTGCCATTTAAATTGCTCAACTCCGAGATGCCCGATTTTACTGTCCATGGTTCTTGGATTATTGCTATAGTGTTCTGCATCTTGTCAAGGCGATGACACAAAACAGTCGTCACCGTGCGACAATGCTGTAGTTTAATCTGGATGAAATTTATCCGCTGCAGCGTCATCTCTGAAGCCAAAAATCTCATACTTACCTATCTTAGGAGACACGAGGCTTATGTCTCAGGCGGGCCCGCTGCCACTGGTAAAAGCTTCATCCCCTGGGGTTTCTGCCACTTCCATAGGGATTTGCCTTTCCTGAGGCAACGCCTCGTTCTCCTTAAGTTTCAGGTTGAAAGAGGACAGCATATAGTTGATCTTGTCCTTTCTCTCCCGGATTTTCTTGGCCTCATCCACTCCAAGCCCAAACACAAAGAGGTTGCCTGGAGCGGAAGCCTCGGATTTGACCTGGTGATGGAAAAGAAGCCATTTTTTAACGCGAGCCCATTGGTTCTGGCTCTCGAGAGGACAAAGTACGACCTCTGCATCCACCGGTGGTCCCGGTGTCCACAGGGTCGCCCTCACCAGCTTTGGTAGCTCAGTCAAGAGGACCACGTTAAGTTGTGCGCCTTCCCACAAGGGTGTTAGAAAGCGCGCTGTTTGTTTTAGCCTTTCCAGAGACATCTCGTCTTCACAGGTTATCCTTAGAATTTCCCCTGTGTACTTGATGCCCCTGAAAGTAGTCGCTTGCCTTCCCGATGTCAGGTACTGTTCAAGTTGTCTGTCCAGTGCTCCCATAAGGCCATTTTGTACAATCTCCACCTGGTCAGCAGTCAGCTTACCAAGTGGATGCTGTACATCAATCATAGCTACACGGAGACGATTTGTAGCTACCTCCCTGTAGCTATGTTCTTTAGAGGTGGTCTCCTGCCTCCTCATCCTCTTTTGCTTTTGTGCTACCGGAGATGTGGATGTTGAAGACCGCACTCTCTTTTTTGACCCTGAGGTCTTTTTTACCCCGAGTTTTTTTAGGGTTGGCTATTATAACCTGCCTCCTCCGCCTTTTTACCTCAGCCCCCAGATTCGCTTCCTCTTAGGAGGCTGCAACCCCACAGTGGCTGGGTTTTCAATTTGAGATGCACCCGAAGACACTTCCTCAGTGAGGCTAGCAGAAGGATATAGCTGTAGCCTGATCTGATATCGGTTAGTCTCGACCTCCCGTTTTGATGGAAATCCAGGCCAAAAAGGCATGTTGCCCAGTCTTGGTGACCACACTGCACCAAGGGGGAGAGCACAAACTCCAGGATTCCTTCATCCCATCTTACGGGTTTCCACGGACGGCACAAACACGCGGGAGTTTGTCCGCGGGGCTGTTTTGATGACCCCACGCCAAGGGGTTCATTCTCGGGAGGGCACGTTTATTTCCAGCCCGCCTTTACTGAACCTCCTTCGCGGCCGTCTAAGGCATGTCCACACAAGACGAGCCTCAGCCTTAACCTACATATCTGGAGCAGGGAAAAACCCAGATCGGACTTCCACCACCCCCAGGAGTGTTTAGTTCTCGGGGGGCATGTCCACCCTCCCCAGACCTCCCTTCCCCAGACAATTCCGGTACGGTGCCCTTGAGGGGACACTCCATCCATCTGCAACCTGGGGACGCGACTAATAGGTAGCTCAACTCACAGGGACACAACGGGGCAAACTTATTTTACATTTGGCCTTCGTAGTACCACTGAGAAGTTCTGTACAGTAAAGCAGGTACGACACAGGCTAAATTTGCTACCTACATTTTATGCGAAAATTTTCTGTAAGTTTTCGCATTAATTAACTCCTTCTAACAAACATGCACTCCAACAAAGCTAATTATCTAGGTAATTAAGCCTCGTTATCATGTCTGCCTCGCAGGTTATATATCAATCCAAAACCAAACAGAAAACAATTTCAAATGATCAAAAAAACTTAAAAAACTTTATTAGATGCAGCAATAGTATGTGTTTATAATACAAGAAAAAAACAAGAAGAGAAAAGAATCAATACCGTGTCATTGCCCAATTTTTAGCCAATCGTTTAGGCATAGACGCGCACAGGTTTCTAAAACAGTTGCAGGAACTCCTACCGTGCTTCATTTATTGAAACTAAAAGTTGTTCGCTGTTTTCAACTATTTGTCGTTTTTCTTGCAGCTTCTTGAAACCTTCAAACTACCGGGTGGGAAAAATTACACATCGTTTCGGGTGGGGTCCGTTTGGACCCCATGGCCTTATTTAGCCAAAACTAAAGAATTAATCAAAAATTTTTGGCGAATCCAAATTATTTATTAATTTTAAACACAACCAAGTTAAAAAAATTACATAACAATATTAAATAAGCATTTTTCGTTACAGTTTTTTGTTCCAGCATTCCTGACATTCAACAGTACGAATAGAATGATCTCGGTAAACAAATCTTTTGCAGGAAATGCAAAAATTTCTTGATTTCTGTCCTTGCTACTTATATAGACGAAACAGCATCCTCGGGATTGTACTGATATCGATTTTGATAACGTGCCATTGATAAAACAAAATTTAATTTTTTAAAGTGATTACATTGTCACACTGACACCAATACTGACACCTGCAAGTCTGTATCAAAACTGCAACGCCGCCTATAAACTAGTAAAGAATAAAACAATGGTTTTTGTAAGACTAAATTCTCAGAATAAGACCTGCAGGTGCAATAAAATCTCCAAAATATAGACAAAAAAATGGCAACGTAAAGAACCAGGTGGGGTCCATGCGGACCCCAAGAGACTAATTTTTTTTTTGGTAACAAACTGTTACACCTATACAATTGATATTTTTTGAATGCATAGCAAAAGGCCTTAATCGAAGCTACTAAAAATACCACTATCGTTAAACCAGAAATAACGGGAAAAAATAGGAAAATGTATCAATGGGGTCCATTTGGACCCCACCCGGTAGTTTGAAGGTTAATAAACCCCACATCTTCTTTATGGGGCTTAAGTCTGGGCTGAGAGTGGCCAAAGCAACACGTTTATATCGTTCGCGGTCAGCTAGTCATTCACTCTCTGCGCAGTATGAAATGAACAATTGTCATGCTGAAAAATAAAGTTCTGCTGTATACATTCAATTTGCCATTTTGGCAAGATTGAAAGACTTTCTCGTCTGAGAAAATAACAGAGCTCGAAAAGCCCGCATCCTGCGTGAGATGTTGTAAAGCAAACCCCATTCGTGCCTCCATGTGTGTAGGCGTAAGCCTTATTTTTTTGCTGCTGTATGGTTTCTAAGTCCTTATACTTGTTAATGGCTACAGTTTCAACCACAGTTGTACAGTACCTAAATGGCATATCTTCTACAACTTGAACGGGCGCATGATCTTCATTAACCGTGGTGATGTAATGTGCGCATGTACCTGAATGGCGATCAACTTGCTGGTTTTCTCTCCATTTTTGATTGTATAACTGACACTAGTCCGCGGTATGACCAAAAGTGCAGCGACACGCGTCTGCGACATCCCCTCTTAGAAATGGGATGTTATTTTCACTTCATTAAAATAACTAATCGGTGGCATGTCAATCTTACGTCAGTAAGTAATCATGTGTAGACGAAATTCACTGTCCCCGACTCTACCTTTTCTTCCGCATGTATCTCCTCCCACGTTGCCTTCTACTAAACTGCACCTCTGGGTTCGATTTTCGTTGCTTCTTCAGTCTAGGTCTGGCGGCGGAGGAGGCAAAGAAGAAGAAGGTTAAACTACACAGTTTGTCTATTTGAAGTAATAAATATTTACGATACAAATTTGACTTTTATTCCACTAAAATTTACACAGTCTTCTAGATAATTCATGAATTTTGACAAATTAGCTTGATAGATCGTGAAGTACATTCGTCTTCCAAGCTCAACGTTAATCTGTGCCAGTTTTACTAATGGCCTTTTGCCTATTGTGTCTGGGAAGCTCTCAATTGGATTTGCTGAGGGTCTACCGGCACAGCACCGATGTTGTTAACTTGTTCTTTAGAAACATTCAAGCCTAAATATTCCCTTTTATTTTAATTATACTTACTGTCAGGTCCCATGGCTTTGGATTCTTCTGCGAAAAATGTTTTCTTATATCCACAATATACTCTAGTTAACAAGACTTACCTTCACTTGCGATAGCACCTTGTGCTTCAGCATTAATAAGAGTAGAACGATCTTGCTGTGGTTTGTCCGATTCCTGAAACAATTTCAAATTACTGACTAGTTTAGGCAAATTTTGACATTTTCTACAGGCTGAGCTGCACCTTTGCTGATTCGGCCTTGTTGGCCCTCTCGCTTATTCGTCTTCTTATAGAGGTTCTCATCTCTAGATTTATACATCTAAAAATATAAATTAACAAGATTCGTTACTTATAAATGAAAATATACGTGATTATCAATTCCTTTAATGTATTCATCTTGCAAGGGAGATATTTCGGGTCCCCACTGTTCTAGGAAGTGTCCCAATCTTGTAACTCTCTGCTGCGGGGTTGTCACAGTGTGACTGCCGCCACAATATCGGTTACAGATGTGATCTTTTCTACAAAAACTTATATAAATCACCATTTCTAGTTTATCTACGCAGTTTACTCTTTTTGTCCTCGCGTTTTTAGTGCTGTTTCTATGAAGTTCAAATTTTTGCTACCGGGCACACTGGAAGAAAAATCGTTCACGTCTATATTTCGCTGTACATTCTTTCATACCATTTCTGTTGTTTCCTCAGTTGATCCAACTCATATGCAAGATAAGGAGCCATATTTCTGCTAGGTGGCATAGCATAAGCCTTCGGCTTCAACGACTGATCCATTTCTCTCCTCATTACTACATCTTTATCGCAAGATATACAGTTAACATTCCTCAGAAGTTTGGTCTTGGTGCCTGCGGCTTCTTGCTCTCTCTTGAGAGCGGTCAAAGACTTGAACTTCTCCTGCAGAGCTTTAAGTTTACTATTAACGAAATCTCGCAATGGATCCACTTCCATCTTGTCAAGTTTATTGCCGACTTCCTTCTGAATGGAATCGAGAGCTTGTTGCCACATTTCTGCCTACCGTAACAGTTAAAACTAACACATTTATGTAGTTCCACACTTACTTGTTCTTCCAGTTTGTTCAAAGCCTCTTCTATGCCTTTCGACAAATCGTCGCATGCAGCATCGAACTGATCATGAGACACTTTCCTATTGATCATACAAGCATCAGCTTTTTCTCCCAGTGCATCTTCTAGATCTTCACGATTCGCTTTAACGATCTTCAGCACGTCAAGCTGTTCCATAATGGCCTAAACCACAACGTAATTGTACATGAAAGAAAAGTTTGTTAATTTACTTGTGTTTGTTTGTCGCGCTCATCTCTTCCTTCCACTAAATTTTGCGCTTGCTCGGAAATCGTGATGATTTCTTTCTCAAGAAGAACAAGTTTGCTGGCTAAATCCGCGGTTGTTTCGGCACCCACACCGGTGGAATCTCCTCCCGGAAGTCTAAAATGTAATATATAATGCAAAAAGTGTAAATAATTGTTTTTGTTATTTACACCACTTCGAGTTTCGTGTAGACGTCATTTATATCGTCTTGCACACTGGCGAATTGCTCGTTTAGTAATTTTATTTGATTGTTATATAAATCATTCATGTCTGCCAACTCCTGGGCGTATTGTTTGAATTTCTTCTCGACGACAGCTGTACTTACTTCATCTCCTTCCGCTTCTCCAGTTACTACAAGCATTAATGATATGACAAGTGTCAATAGGTAGGTAAAAGTTTATACTATATTAAGTACCTTTACTTTGCTCTATCTCTTTAATACTACTGATCATCCATTTAGACAGATTATGAAACTCTTCCTGTATCATCGCTACAGCATCTGTCGGTGTCAATTCGCTTAGTTCGACACTAAAAATTCTTACTTTAGACCAGAATTAATTTGAAGTCTTTCATACTTTTCGACGACACTAGTAAATGGTTCTTGAGGGCTAAGCACTTTGATCACGTCACTTTTCGCAGTACTCTTTCTACTCGGTGTTTCTGGAGCTACGCTACCTTGTACTGTACCTCTCCCTTCGCTCTTTACTTCACTTCTAGCAACGCTAGCCGTTTCGCTTTTAGCAATACTAGCCGTTTCGCTTTTAACAACACTAGCCGTTTCGCCTCTAGCAACACTAGCCGTTTCGCCTTTAGCAACACTAGCCGTTTCGCCTTTAGCAACACTAGCGGTTTCTGCTCGAGTGTGGTCCACCGGTGCTGCAACGACACCTGTTTTCTTAAGCTCTTTAACAGAAGTTTCTAAGTGTGCGACGCGGGTTTCTAGGTTTCCGAACACACTTCCCTTTCTATCACTAGCAAAACTAGACTGATCGATTGACATTTTAACCTCTTGGACTCTTTGTTGGACATCAGCACCTAATTCGCTTCTAGCTAAATCCTCCACCAAAGAGCCTAGTTTCTGTATTGTTATTTCGGTGGCATCCATCCTTTTGGCCAATCTGAGATTTTGGTACATGTCTACGATGGGTCCCGTTGAGTCTCTCGTGGATTGTATTAAACCAAAGTTTGAGGGCAGTTCTCTCAGTTCCTTGATTTCTTCTTTCAGATTGTCCAGCTCGTTCAGCACGCCGTCGAACGCAGTTTTGCTCAAAGCAACTGTGTACTGAGGTAGAGCGGACTTAGAATCGATTAAGACGACCGTGTTAACTCCGACCAAGCTACCTAAACACAAATATAAAAGAATATAAAGGCAACAACAACATGGAGAACCTTGAGGTGACTTTAAGGGTAGAGGGTTCGGATCGGGATCTTCCCTGGAATCTTTTCGTCGTTCGATTACCCGGAGTTCCTTTTCTTTCTTTTCTTCACTTTGCTTTACTTTTGTAATGTCTGTAATATCTGGGGTGTTGAATAGTTTCTTTGTGGGGGAGATTACCTTGTAAGCTGATTTTTTTCTTATTACCAGTAGATTTTTTCCTGTCTTTGCCACCGATAACCGTGTACTCTGGGTACACTTTAGTAGTGGTTTTGTTTGTAGCTATTATTGCCTGGACGCGATCGCTATCAGGACCTCTAAATTCTACAGCCAGGTCATTTAGTGTCAGTTGCTGAATTATCACGTGCAGCAAGACTTGTAGAATTTGAAAATTAATTACAGACTGAAGATTAGTGAAATTTTTTTATTGAGGGGAATTAGGAACACAGGGTGATTTACCTCGTTAATCGAAAGGTCCACCATTTGGGATAACGTTATTAAAGTAGAGTTCTGTGCCATTTTTCAGTCTTTTAGTCTTTTTAATGAAATTTTTGACAAATGGTGATAAAATTGTATGAAAACTGTGTTGACACAGGCTAACTTATTTTTTAAACAAAATTATACAAATCTAGACACTGTAGTAATTTCTAAACTGTTCTGCAAAGACGGTGTATGCCGTATAATATGTGGCAGGTTTTTCAGACACATAGATATGACGTATATCAATAGAATCAAATAAGTATCTTCAATAATACTTAACATATTAGTGTCAGGAACCAAATTGGTCAGTTTTAGTTCAAAACAAGACAATTTAAAACCTATTACTCCTCTTTATAAATTCGTATAGACTTGATTATATTCTCCAGAGAGTAACTGTATTCAGATTTAGTTGATGACCCCACAAATAAAACTCATTTTCTCACTTATTTACCACCAATTTAAACGTCAAAGCGGACAAGCAGACAAATTAATAATTTTAACAGTGCATTCAGTTTATACATTAAACACGAAAAATATATATTAGACCAATTTCCAGCTATATCGAATTGGTTTGTTTTGACAATAAATCTCATTTAATGACAATCATCGCTAAAATACGAAATATTATTCCAGAAACGTTCCAATTATATCAGTCTGACAACTTCCTCAAACCAAAATGTACGTTAAATAATTACTGGTGAATTATTTATGATTCACACCTAAATAAATAATACTAACAAAAATCTGAAAACTGGTTAAAACCAGAAAAATAATCATCTAAAGAATGAATACTGACAATTTATTTACTAAATGGATATTAAAATATTTTCTCACTTTTTTCATGTTGCACTGCAGCAAATCTCAATTATTTAAAGTCAGCGACAAAGACAACAACATTAATAAGTGCGTTGGAAGCATTATGTCAAATTATTATCAGCCAGGTTTTACAATTCTGTTAGTGGACACAGATTTTCTTGAAATTTCTTACCCCGTGATTCATTTTAACAGTTCCAAAAGTATTCATCTATTCGAGTACTGTTACCCACAAATGTACATAATAAATTTAAAAACAAATCAACTACACCGATTGGTTAATATTTTGCAAGACTCGGAGATTTTCAACCCACGAGCTTATTTCATCATAATTTCAGACCACGTGTCTTCCTATGACGATTTTTTTCAGCAACTATCATCCTACTTTATTTATAAGGTGGTACTGCTGGACACTTCAGACGAAAATTTAATAACTTACGACCCATACGTGCACGAAAATGTATTAAGTCAGGAGATTCAACCCATGGTTCTGGGTCATTGCAACAACGTTTTTCTTGGTGGTATTTTCAACAAAACTTTGCCTTTGCTGTGGCGAAACACAACAATTGAAGCTGTGTATACCGAACACTTTCCATACTTGTACTACGACAAAGGAAAACGGTCTGGCGAAAATTTCAAACTTACGGCAATGATTAGAGAAAAACTGATGTCCAAAGTTAACTCCCAACCTTTAAACGAAACCAATTCCACAGACATTAATGGTTGGTTTGGGTACTAAATGTTTCTTATAAACTCCCTCAGATCTGTTGCAGACGAGAAGAAAACACGTCGTCGGTAATCTTCAAACCGTTAATTCAACCAATCATTTGAAATTCGACTTGATTCAAGTCGACATGTCGGCTCATTTTTACTGGGTGGTGCCACCAGGACGAAAACTTCTCTTCTGGAAGGTCTTTTTGCTTCACTTTGACTACAAGATTTGGTTATGCATTTTATTCTGTTTCGTGATTCTGACTTTCGTTTGGCACTATATGGAAGGCAAAGGACTCGTTTTTTCATTCTTCTTGCATTATCAACTGTTGATAGAGTCCGGTATACTAAGTAGTACCCATATATCGAAAACTTCAACTAGAGTCCTCACAGTCTCTTCTGTATTTTCGTTTTTGACAGTTTCAACTGTTTTCAAAAGCGAGATGCTTCATTCTTTTACGAAAATTATTTATGAGTACCCTATTGACAACATGGACGATATTGTACGCTTCGACCTAAAGTGCTACGTTGCTGAAGACATGAAACTTCTGTACCAGTCGAGTGTTTCGCGTTCTCAGTATATATCTAAATGTGTTACCATACAGGAGCACGACGATCAACAAGAAATTCTTCTGAGAGCAGCGTTTGATCAAGATATTGCCACAATCTCTAGACTTCTGAAGCTAAAATTTGCTATCAATACCTTATTGGAAAGGAATTACGACGGGGAATACCCTCATTTGATAGAACGACAAGTCAAGTTCGACTTTTTGTTTTTGTATATTACCAAAGGGTATCCACTCTATGAGCGCATTTTTCAACTTATAGGATGGATTAATTCAGCGGGATTTACGGCGTATTTTAGACAAGTCGTTAATTTTAAAGTTGAAAAAGTTTTTCGTTTTAAGCAAAAAATTGAAAGCAGAAATCTGAAATTTGCACAGATATCTATAGCTTTCTACATGGTTTTGGCCGGTATGGGGCTTAGCTTTATAGTTTTCTTGTTAGAGCTCTCATTTAGGTGTCCCCTACGAAAAAGAGACTAATTTTGTTGTTCTGTCAGAAGGAAATATCTACATATATAGAAATACCAGGGAAACCTTTATTTTTGTAGAAACTTATATTGTATAAATATAGTGATAGTGTGAAATATTAACATGTAAGATATATAATAGTTGAAACCGATAGTTGTAATAACTAAAATAAATTTATTCTTCGAGCAAAAACAAAGTTGAGCGACAGCAGTGCGAAGGGCGTCTCCTCGTGAAGATCTATTTGCTCTACCACAACCACAACACGCGATATCTAGAAACGCCTCGACTCGCATTCTCAATTTTAGATGGCGTTCCAACACTTCCCCTCGAGTCAAACCTTAAGAAACATCCCATAGTGTTTCATTCTAACTCTTCTCCAATTTTTTTTTTCACACTACAATATATCAATACATTATTTAACTGTAATCGTCTCACAAAAAACAGGTTCCTTTTAGTCTGATTACGTTAAAATTTATGTAGATTAAACATAAACGTCGGTATTTAACAGCAATTTCTCAAATTTATGTTTTAATGCTAACGACAGCCAATTTTCTGCTATTTTCAATCGATTTATGACCACGAAATCCATTTAATAAAATAACTGTCTTTGTCACGATACCTAGTTTATTCCAACCACATTCAATTATACATCGACAACTTCCTAATACAAATATGTACAGACAATAATTACATCTGAATTATTTACGCGTCATTCCTGTATAAATAAAACCAAAAAGACAATAATAAAGAACATATCGAATTAATTGTTATTTAAATATGAGCAGGTTGTTTACCAGACGCGTGTGTTTTTTGACTATTATGTTCCACTGTGGACAGTGCCGTTTTTTAAATTTTGGCAACAAGAACAACAGTTTTCTGAATAACTGCATTGAGAGTATTATGTCAAGGTACTATGAACCAGGTTACACAGTCCTCATGGTGGATGAAGAACAAACGAAAGTTTCCTATCCTGTAATTTATTTCAACAGTTCGAAAGAAATCAAAATATTTGACTACTGTTTCCCAAAAATGTACATCATTAATTCAAAAAACAACGAATTACGAAAGGTGTTTCATGCATTACGAAACATGAAGATTTTTAATTCTCGGGCTTATTTCATCATCATTTCAGAGCAATATAGAGACATTTTTCAAAAATTAGCACATCGTTTTGTCTATAATGTGGTTCTGATAGACACCAAAGAAGAAAATGTAGTAACTTATGACCCCTACCTTTATGAAAACGTCCTATCTGATGGTGTTGAACCCACTGTTTTGGGTAAATGTTCTTTGAACAACATTTTCAACAAAACTTTTCCACTTTTGTGGCGAAACACGACAGTCAAAGCTGCTTATAGAGAACATTTTCCTTATCTTTACCACGAAGGAGGACGACTTACTGGAGAAAATTACGAACTTTCGAAAATGCTTGAAGAAAAACTGAAGTTTAGGCTGAATTTGCAGCAACCTTACTTAAACTCTACAGACATTAATGGTTGGTTTTACTCTTCCATGTGCTAATAAAGTTCTTCAGATCTGTTACAGAAAGGACGCAAACACCTCATAGGGAACCTCCAAACTCTTAAATCAACAGACCACTTAAAATTCGACTTAATTAGGATTGGCATGTCGGGGCATTTTTACTGGGTGGTACCACCTGGGAAAAAAGTACCCTTCTGGAGGGTCTTTTTGCTCCACTTTGACCACAATATCTGGCTGTGTATTTTAGTTAGTATTTCTGCTTTAACTTTAATTTGGCATTATATAGAAAAACAAGGTATCATTATTTCGTTTTTCTTCCATTATCAACTGTTAGTAGAGTCAGGTTCCTTAAGTGTTAGCAAAATTACAAAAACACCAAGTCGCGTTTTAACAGTTGCTTCCGTCTTCGCCTTTTTGACCATTTCGACAATTTTCAAAAGCGAAATGCTTAATTCACTAACTGAAACTCTGTACGAGTACCAAATAAACAGCTTAGACGATATAATCCGTCACAACTTAAAGTGTTACGTCGCCGACGACATGAAACTTCTTTACAAGTCAATCAGCAATTTCTACTCTCGGTACATCTCCAAATGCACTTCGATTGAAGACCACGACGACCAACAAGAAATTCTTGTAAGAACCGTTTTGAACAAAGACGTTGCTACGATTTCCAGATTTTTGAAACTGCGCTTTGCCATGAACACTTTGTTGGAGATGGGTTACGAAAAAGAGCGTCCTCATTTAATCAGGCGTCAAGTCAAATTTGACTTTTTGTTTCTGTACTTGACTAAAGGATACCCTTTGTATGATCGTCTTTGTGAAATTCTAGGCAGGATGGACTCGGGTGGGTTCACCTCGTATTTTCGTAAATTGGTCGATTTTAAAGTTGACAAAGCTCTTAAGTTCAAGCAAAAAATTCAGACTAGAAATTTGGAGTTTGCGCATATATCTATAGCTTTTTATATATTTTTGGCAGGGATGGGGGGGAGTTTTGTTGTTTTTTTGTTCGAGGTGGCTGTAAAGCGACCGTTAAGTGCACTGTAAGATGTTATTTTTATTT